GTAGGCTGCGGCTCGAGCGAGATGGACGATGTGATAGTGGACGGAGGGAGGGGCGGAGGAGGAGAAGAGGCAGCCTCAGAAGCGTTAAAGGGGTCATAACGCCACATGCACTTGTGTGTACGTGCTTTTGTATTCTCTCGTTCGCGTAAGTCGTAGCTCCGTTTCGCTCTCGCGCGGCACACACAGCCTCGCACCCCCTCCCTTTACGCTTCGAAAAGTTCGTCGGCGGCTGCGGCGGCGACTAGGTTCCCTGTGCTGTGTACCCCGCCATCGCCGTTCCTGTTGGTTCGCGCGTCCATTGGCGGCAACGTCGATGTGTACGTAAAATGGTACCATGGCAAAAATAAAAAAAAAGGTACACGGACGCCGTCGCCTACGTATGACCCCTCCGGCGGCTTCCTGTCTTTTTCGCTTTTCCTCCCCCTTCCGTGCACACCGTACTTTTCGCCTTTGCGCTTGTGCCTTTTTTGCTTTTCGCCTCGATTTCGCCAAGTAATACTACACACTAAGTACGTATTGGATTCACATTGAATTTCAAGTCGTTGTGCGTTTGGATTTATTGTTTCCTCTTTTACGGTCTCTGGCAGAATCGGTATGTTTTTTTTTTAATTTCATTACTCCCTCCCCCTTTCGGTCGGCCCGCCACCCGCACCAATGGCAATATCGTAATCTTTAACAGCTCTACAGCTTGACAGACCACTCTTTCTTAGCTACGAAACTTTAAAATGTTACTCCATCAGGGCTCTATAAAACCTTTCCACTGTCTCCTTCCTCCTTTCCATTAAACATCAAGCCCAATAATAATGTTCCACCCCTTACGGCCGCTTAAACTTACGCTCGCAAACGGCATTACGATATTCCACGCTTTTTTATGCAAGTTTGTACCAGCAAGCGCGCGATTGTAATTTGGCCCAGTCGTCCTGCCCTGGCGCACGATTGCCGTGCGCATTTTTAACATCGGACGCTACGTTATTGTTACCGTTAACGACGAGCACAACGACAACCGCAGCGACGACCACGACGACGATCACGACGATAACCACGCAACGACCACGGCACAACTCGGTGTCTTTTTTGTGGCAGTGGCACTACACCCGTACACGATAGTACACATCGTGTTCGCGCCGTTCTATATGTGTACACGGGTGTGCGCGTGTGTGAAGTCACTGGTTTCTCTCTTGAGATTGAAACGAGATGAGAATAATGGACAAGGACGGTAATCTGTTGCAACCACTTTGCATAGACGAGGACGGCGAAACTTGAGAGAAAACTGGGCGGCGTGATAGAATCCACGGTCCGGCAACAGGGACAGGAGGGTGATGGTGTTGGTATTGGTGGTGGTGGTGGTGGTGGTGGTGGTGGTGGTGTTCTTGTTGGTGTTGGTGTTGGTGTTGGTGTTGGTGGCGGTGTTGGTGTTGGTGGCGGCCGCGGCGGCGGCGGTGGTGACGGTGGTAGTGGTGGTGGCGGCGGCGACGGCGGCAACCACGACAGAGGTGGGAGGGCGGGTGACGGGAGGGGGAGGGGGAGAAAATCGGATGCTCTGGTGCTTTTGCTCGGTGAGGAGACGGCGACAGAGTAGCGAAAAATAGAGCGCGATAGAGGAAAATAGAGAATCTTCAGAGAGATGGAGGAAAGCTGCTAGCCGTTAACATTAGTAAGTAATGTCTTTCTTACGCTGTTATAAGACCGCGTGTGCGCGACAGTGACGGCCACGGGCAAGAGGGGCGGCGACGGTGGTGGAAGCAATAACGACGGTGGCGGCGGCGGCGGCGGCGGCGGCGGCGACAGCGACGACAACAACAACCACGACGACGACGACGACGATAACAGCGACGACAACGACAACGAGAACGACTAAGGCGACAACAACATCCGCGGGTGGGAGGGAAGTGGAAAGGACACTACACCGCTATGACCTCGCGCTGACGCCATTTTATGTGCGTGTGCGCGCGCGCACTAGCTCGCTCGTGTTAAAAAATGCACACGACACACGCGTTCTGGGGCGTATGTGTGCGTGCGCGCGCCAGTGCCAGCGGAGCGACGTAAACATTCTCGTACGCGTATACACATATTCGCTAGCGACGGCAGGAGCCGAGCGGACCTTCTGCTCTTCTTTTGAGACGGCTAGCGGCCGCCAGCGTGAAGAACGTCTGTAACCGCGACAATCGCTGTTTTCAATTCACGAGGTGAGCCCGGCCGATAAGAAGGATCGGTAGGATAAACAAATAAGGGCAACAGTATCCCAGCGGGAGCGATCAACCAAAATATTATTCAAGTGCGGCGGCATCATTGAAGCCTTGAGTGTACGGTACGAGAGCAGCGAGCGATTCCTCTCTGTGTCTTACTGTATTCGGCACATTCTTTCCTCAACGTGACTCGTTCACGCGCGGGTTCCGATCCCCATTACATGTACACTCCTTCTTTTCCGCCTCTTCCATCTCTTTCTTTTCTTCCGTCTGTTTTTCTTTTATTGTCGTCGTCGCCTTCGTCTTTGCCTTTGTGTTTGTCTTCGTTTTGATTTTGGTTTTGGTTTTGGTTTTGGTTTTGGGCTTGGTATTGGTATTGGTATTGGTCTTGGTATTGATATTGATATTGGTCTTGATTTTGATCTTGGTCTTGGTTTGAGTCCTGATCTTGGTTGTCGTCGTCGTCGCTGTCATTATCATCTTCGTTATTGTCTTGGTTGTCATCATCTTCGAAGTCATTGTCATCGTTGCCGTTAACCGTAATAGCGTCTAATTTTATAGAAGTCCGTGTTAAGAAAATAGGAGCAGCCGTTGTTCAAGTCAACGGTTCCACCAAATGGAACTGACACAACTCGAGATGGAGAGGCTGGTGCACACGGAAACGGCGGCTTTGTGGAAGGCTCTGTGTGACGCACAACAACAGAGAAGGAAAGAAAGGGCGAGCAAGACGATGAGCGGATATTAGGTGAGAGGAGGGCGCGCGTGTTCTCGTTTCGCGCCAATTTTGCTCCCCCAATTGCACGACACGCATGTCTGTACGCGCTGGTAACGGAGCCTCGCACCTGGCTGCATCTGCCGCCGCCGTGGTTGCTGGCGTCGTCGCCGTCATCGCGATCGCCGTCTTCTTCGGGAACAGCTGTCACCAAGATCTTCGTCGGTGTTTGGGCAAGGCTCGCGTAAGCGTCGCGAAGATCGCTATCGCGTTTACCTTCCTATTCTCCTCCCTACACACCGTCACATTGTCGTCGACTTTTTCTTTTTGTTCTTTTTACTTTTTACAGTTGATGTATTTTTTGTGGTTTGTTCGACTTAGCTAATGTGTTTTTAACGTGTAGGCTGACGCTGTTAGGGAATATCCTCCATGACGAATTAACAAAGATTGTAAATGTGTTTAACAAGAGCGCCCCTTGGTAGTAACTTAATTTTGGAGCAATGATTTAGCTACCTAGGATTATTTTGAAAAAGAAACTATTGAGAATGAAAATGGTTCGCGATGGTTTATATTTATCAAGCACTATGGAGTGAGCACACAAGATATACTTATTAATTTATAAATTTAACTTTAGGATTGATAGTGCAGTGAAAGTGATAAAATCCCGTTTTACTAATGTAATGTTTATACAGTGTTTATGATAATAGATCTAAGCTTAATTAAAATTGTGACATGATCCAGTCATTTCTAGGTTAAAGATATTTCTGTGTGAACAAGGCTAAAAGATTAATTAGTGATAGCTGATGTGTAATAGAATTGCCACTTTTAGAAAATTTTGCATATCTGTAACTGTATAATTACATAATTTGGAAACTGGTATTTTTTGTAAAAGATTGCAGATTAGGGATAATTTTTGCTTATCACAAGTAGATTTGCTAAAATTTAATGAAAGTATTATATTCATACGCATGTACTTTCAAATCTCAAGTTATAATGAAAAATGATAATACTTTTATTATATTTAATATAATCGAAATGATAGAGCACAATCGTATCTTTGATAGTTTATTTATTATAACTGTTATAATTCAAATTATTATATTAATTTTTTTAATCTTGAAATTATAAAGTAACTATTATTATTTAAAATATCAAATAAAGATATTTTATAAAAGTTTCTAATTGATTATTATTGTTTGCAATTGACAAAATTTATTACTTAACTTTTTGTGTAACATTTTCATTATTTGTTCATGATAAAATGCTAATTTTAATGAAAATATGATAATAGAACCACAATACATGCATTGCATTAAATGTTCATAAATTAATTAGTCAATATGGTTTATTATATAATATTTACATATATGAATAGTAGTGATTTAATTAAAATTATTTATTTACATGATATTTATTTATAAAGTTATAGAATTATAATTGATCATATAATTTTAAATAACATGTATAAGTACTTAAATAAAAGTGTAAATTAAGAATACTTACTTTGACGCAGATTATCTTAGATGATTAGTTATACAATTAGTTTAAAATACTAAAACTATTTACATATTACTTAATGCTTTTGTGGTGATAAAAATTGATAAGTTTAAGAGGAACAGAATCTACGATTATTTTTATTTTATAATTGTTTTATAAAATATATTATCATTAAAAATATTCATTTCCTTTATAAAAACTATTTTCAAATCTATAAAGTATAAACGTAATTTCTATAATTCAATATTTTTACAAATATTTGCGTTTAAATTAAGAATCAAAGACATTATTTAAAATAAAATTAATATAGATTTTATATTTTATGGAATAATTCATACTGTAATATATATATATATTTATATTTATAATATCGATGAAGATTTTAAAATACCAATCAGCTCAGTTTAATTGTATTAATATCAAAAGTATCAATTAATATATTAGATTATATATTATATCCATAGAAGTTATTGAGAAAATAACTTAATGTTTTATATTACTATCTTTTTTCAGGTACACAAAAGTATTAAACTTTTGAAGATTTCTTCACTGTTGACTTTGACAAATAGTCACCTACAGTGAAATGAAATGCTTGTGCTATGTTGAAAAGGATTCATATGAAAGTTTTTTTTCTTTCTTTATTTCTTATAAACTGTGTGTAATATTTTACTGAGAACATTTTTAACATTAAAATGAAATCTGTAAGACTGTAAAATTCTAAGAGGTGATAAAATAAAATTCAAGGGATGAGTTTATTTACAAATAAAGTGGATGTAAGATAAGCAAAAACATGTCTGGTGATTCGGGTTGGAATGCCGTTATTCATCATCCATCGGAGTTGGAATTGCAAAATTGGGACTGGGATGGCAATGATGGCGAACCAGAGCAAGAACTTCCATCTACAGTTGATATGGATGCAATTAAAGATGGCGGAAATTGGAATCCAGTTACTGGTATGACAATACAATAATTTAATTGAAATTTGATATTAATTTATTTTGAACAGTATTACTACATTTTCTATTAATAATTTCATGGAAATTATTAAATTGGATAAATTACCATAAAATCAACAAATTATGAGTTTATAGTACATAGTATATAATTTATAAACTTAAAAAGAATACATTTAAGAAAATTCCTCAACTTTCGGTTCTTATGTAATTCAAAGTTTTGCAATTTAAAAGTAATTTTATGCTTTTTATATATATCTTATTATTTTATTTTATCAATAGGTGTCACTACTATAAATTCAGATGATGATTCTGAATCAGATGATGAAAGCTCTGGAGGTAGCGACGGTAGTTGTTCCTATTCGGATTCAAATTCTGATTCGGATAATGATAGCAGCGATGGTGACAGTGAATCAAATTCTGATTGCACGTCAGATCATAGTGAGCAAACATTTTCAATTCGAGAAACAAATTTTGAGCAGGTAATGTACAGTTCTATTGTTTCATTGATAGCATTTATATATTTTTTAAATTCCATGTAGTTCTGATGCTTATGTTTAAAAATTATAGGGTGGATTAAAATTAAAAATAAGTATGAAAGTGCCCAGAAAAGAAGATTTAGATAAACTAAGATGTGATAGAGCTCGACGCCTGTTACCAAGAAGGACTAAAAGCAGAGCCGCTAAGGTAAATATACATATAATTCTGTAGTCCTACAGATTTTATAGATTGTTTAGAAAATGAAAAATAGTCACATAAGTATATGTGTTTTCAAAATTTTATTAAATAAAAATCAAATACTTCAGTCATTCTCAAAATCTATATTTTAAAATGTATTATATGTATTTTTAAGGTATCTATTTGCTTATTTTAATAACCTCATAAATAAATTCATTTTTAAATTAATATTTATTTAAAGGAGAACATAAAATGTGGAATTTATTTTTCATAAAAAAATTTCTTTTCTAATTGTTTTATTATTTAAAATATTTATACTTATTATTCTTATGAAAACAAATTTTTTTAAATAAAATATATTTATTTATATTTAGACATCAGATTGCAGTAGTGAAGATTCTGATTCATCCATCAGTCAATCTTTAATGCCATCCCCTCAAATTCAGCAAACATTACTGCAGCAACAAACAACACAATTTTCTCAACCACATCAACATGTTCCAATTCAGCATCAACAATTTTCAAATCAACAATCAAATGTGGTTAGTTAATTGTAATTTATTATATAAAGTTAGTTTTTCAACGTGAGCATACAATAAATTATTTAATCAATTGTATTAATTAGTAATAAACTGTAATGACTTTGATAAAGTATTATTAGAATTTTATTTTTAGAACTATTATTAGATAGAGTAGATAATCATACATAAATGTATATACTTATTTTATAAATTTTAAAATTTAAAATAACTTACTAAAGGTGTTAAAACATTAACATTTTAAGTTTATCTTACATAACGACAATAAATATATTAATAAAATAATAGTAACTAATAATGATGATAATATAATTCTATTAGGAAAATAAGACTTATATTATTATACAATATTTTATTATTATTATGATACTTATATTTTTATATATAGTAAATTCAATTATAATTTTTAATTTTACGAAAAATTCTGGTAATTTATTGTACTTAAAAGATGTTCTAATTTAATAAGCCTTGAAAATTGATTTTATTTTAAATATATTTGATATCAACTAGAGTTATGTATATATTGATTGATTCTTTGTAATTAAAATATTTAATTTTTATTACTTCCATGAATTGTTCATTGACTTAATTTTTCATTGATATATTTATATTATACTAATGCCAAGTACTATCATATCTTTTATATAATGGTTAAGTAATCATATATAATACAATTGTACTATATGCTATCTATATTATAACTGTACAATTAAATTTTATACTTATTTCAATATAAAATTATAATGATATGTGTAATTATTACCAAATAGTTATTTTTTTATTTTAAAGGGGACTGTACAGACAGTCCCACAATTGCCACAGGCCCAGCAAGTTAATCACCAGCATCACCACCATCATCATCACCACCAGCAGCAGCAACAACAACATGTACAACAACCGCAACAACATGTACAACAACCGCCACAACATGTACCACAGTCGCCACAGCAACAGCAACAGCCAATACAGTCGCAGCAGCACCAGCAACCCCTCCAGGAGATCAATCAGGAGGATCTTGCAGCAATTCTGCCAGAACAAGAGCACGAAGACACGGCATTTGACGGCTTTGAGGACTCGGAAAGTGGGCGGTTAGTGTCGAAAGCGATTGAACGGATGTCACTTGGTGCCGACTCAGACTCCTCTGAGAACATAAGCGAGCGGAACCCCGTGCCTGTGTACAGTTCGTCCCTGCTTCAGCAATTCGCGGAGAAAACAGCACTGCTGTCGGAGCCACGTAAACGACGTGGCAGTAAGCAGCAGCTCGCCAAGAGGTCGAGCGGCGAGCCTCGGGAACCGGAGTATGCCAGTGCCTCCAACGTGTCACCGGATTCAGGTATACAGTCCGTGGACAACAGCCCTCTACACCTGGTTAATCCCGTGAGTCCACCTCCAACTACATCCAACCCAGGTGGTACGCTTAATTTACCTGTGCGGCCAGTGAGCACTACCGTATCAGCCAATAGCAGCAACAACAGCAACAACAAAAGTAAGGAAGACTTGTCAGCCAGTTTTTTGTTTTTTATTCAGCTTCTCGGTGTTCGAAATAACACACGAATTTTATTTGTTATTTACGTTAAATTTATATTTTTATAGAAGTAATATTTTAATAAATTTGACGTTATTTTGAAAATCACTTAATTTGTATTTATAAGCATCGAAGATTTAATAAATCAAATGGCCACTTACAGCTGTAGAGTCGACGAGTTTTGTGGTTGGCAAATTGTCGACGTCGAGGCCAGCAGCCTTGGTGGCCAAGTCGAAGTCGCTCGTGAGTGCGGATACGGTGTTGAGCCCCCCAAAGCGCAAACCCGGGAGACCTGCAAAGTTCGCTGCATCCTCTTCGACACAGCCACGCGGCCCGGGGAGGCCGAAGCTTCGTCCGACCGCTATTCCAGTCAAGAAAGAAGCAGCTAATGGTCGATCTTTCTTTAACAAGGAGAATCCTTGCTTCAAGAGAGCCAAAGTTGTCGTGTCGCAGTGCAACAGGCAAACGTCGGCCAAATGTCAGACTGTTGAAGAAACGCTCAACAATAGATTGAAGTGCAGGAAGTCGACTTTGCGGAAATCGTGCGATACGACCGGTTAGATCCTTTAACTCTTTTCTTGTTTCTTATCATCTTAGCTTGAGATCTACTGTTTTTTTGACATTTTTAAAAATTTAATGTCAGTATAAAAATAATAAACAAAAATTGAACTTTTCCAAAAGACGTCAATTAAATATTTTATACATTATTTAATGCTGATATATAACGCTCAACCTTTACATTATTTGTAAAAAACGTGATTGTCAAAGTCGGATAAAAGAGATGTAATTCGTCATTTATTTTACGTTACTTTACACAAGCGTTCGGTGCAATTCTTGTACAAACTATGTGAAAAAGTTCATAATTACTAAATACTGACAAATCTATAAATTTGCAAAGTTTATTAAATTACTTTCCATTTTTTTGAATATTAAACTTTAGCATATCGATTTAATTATTTATTAATAACGTATCGTTAGAAATGCGCCTATTTTCTTTCACAATGTAATTTCATAATAAACATTTTAATTTCTTGTGATTTGTCATGTAATTTTAGCAACGCTGACTAAACCAGCCCAACGCCTGGACGAAGTGAAGGTGTGCGTAACGCGTAAGAAGTGCCTAAGCAAACCGACGCAGGTCATCGTGGGGAAACGCTTGAAGGAAGCCATTCATAACGAGGAGACGGGCAACTGCAAGCGAATGAGGCGGGAAAGGCAGACGCATTTAAAGAAAGAACTCGCTCAGCCAACCATCGTCAAATCTACCGAACGAATTGAGGATAATACAGGTAATATAATATAATTTTATAATAAAGATAAACTGATGCCTTACGGATTATCATTTGCAAAACAACGCTAAAATACTAATACGAAGAATAACATATGAATTGGCAAAATTAATTAAAAAAAAATATAATAAATTTGTATTCCAAGCGCGATTTGAGCTCGATCTTTAACTTACATAAATACTAATGATAGAAGAAAAAAAAATAGAATGCTTACTTTAATAAGATTATGGATGGATATAAATTTTGTTTAAACGAGCGGCTGTGATTCTGATTTCAGGTAAACTCGAAAGCAAAAAGAGCTTAAAGGAGAATAGGCTTGACTCGTTAAGTCTTAGCAAACGTCAGCAGTCGACGCGAAAGAGCCAACAACAACAGACATCATCAGCATCTCGGCGCGTCCTCAAAGAAAATAAAGTTAACAAAAAGACAATTGGCACGACCGCAGCCGCTCCGAATAACAAAAACAACGAGGCTGGACATTTACTGGAAACGAGCGTCATTGGCGTGCAGACCATCTTATCCTTACCTGTTATTAATCCGATTCTTTCAAATAATCAATATTTATATCATTGTTATGTGCTTGCAGCATTGCAATGATTTGCGCCTTTCACCTACCAATCGAATTATTTATTACGAATTATAACAATAGTTTTGTATAATTTGCAAACTATAATTACCATGAAAATGGTAATTTTTCGTATTTAACGGAAATGTGTAGATTTTCTATCTTCCTATTTTCAAGTATTGTACAAACGCGTTCATGCGCATTGAAAACTCTTAAAATGGTTTTGAAACGTGGGGTAAGCTTTTACATCACAACAGTTTCTCTTTAAATATATTTCAAAATCAAAGTCGAATGAGGTTGATAATATTTTTATTACAAACATTTGATTATACGGCACAGAAGGAAAACATAATTTTATGCGTATGGTATTATTATATAGCCATAATTCCGATAAATGTGAGTAATTCTAATTAAAATACCTTAATTATTGATATAGATTTTTAATTTATCGCCATTAAAATGCAGAAGTAAAAGTGAAAAATGTTTTAATTCGGTCAAAATCGTATAATTAGTTTACTGAAAAAACCTATTTGTTAGCTTGTTGGATGGATCAGCTTAAAAAATTTTCATTGTAATACGCACACCGAGCCTCACCATAATAATAATTCACGAAACATCATAACGAGTTTATCTAAATAAATAATAAAATAACTATGCAATTTGATGATTATACGAAAGCGTTGGTATAAATACTCGGTGATTCGATTGCGCTATTAGTGATATATCAAAATTCCAATTATATCTTGGAAGTTTCTATTCTTGAGTCGATTCGAACGGAAGAATTGTGGACCTTAATCAAAGTTCTGTCGTGCGAAATCGTGCGAACTTGAAGTAAATTTGTGAATTGTCAGGCACTAGGGGTTGGCCGGGATCATCATGCGCAGAAATTGATTAGTGTACTTGACTAGCTTTCTCCATTAGGGGGGTTGAATGTTGAAGCCGATTAAGGGGAAACTGTTGCCATGTTCTCACATACTCTCAGACGGCGCGCACGTTTGTTCACACATATGCATGCACTCGTATAGTGTGGTTTTGTCATTTTATGCCTTGTGTAGTTCATGAAAGATGCATGACTCGTGAAGAAGAGTAACGGAAAGCCGGGACATCGTCCGTTAAAAGACTCTTCTTTATTTATTATCCTGAGAACCGAGTATATCTACAGCTGGTAGTTGCTCGTGGTTAATTAATACTCTCGATCCATGTGGCGAATATTTGAATAAATTTATAAATTACGAAGCTTTCGACACATTGCCCGAGTTCTTTGTATCCTTAAAAAAAATTCAAACTTAATAGTGTAATTTTTTCATGCATTTAAAATTCAATAACATATATATATATATATATATACTTTTTTTTAAACTCTCATCGTTGAAAAAATACAAAAACTTTTCTTATGTTGTTATAAATGTATTTGTTTATATGATAATAATTGATTTTTTAAGATGAACAATTGATATTTAAATGTTTAATGTTCTTCCATATAATTTAGATACAGATTTGCCGTACAAGAATGTAAATTTTATTTTACAAATATTTGGCAATTTGATTATTAATAATTCTAATTATTTGATCTTTCCATATATTACTCTTATGTAATGAAACATACCGTTCATTTTTATATTCTTTATATTTGATGATTTCGGCTTTTTGGCCTCGAGTAATTAATAAACATATTTAATAATGAATATTTTAATAATTCGAATGTATAAACATATTTGATTATCTCATCATATAATTTTTTCTAATTTATTTATATAATTCACGTGGCTCGTGTCTTTAGATTCATAAGGACGATGTAATAATTGTACTTCCTTTATATACGCAAGATTATAAACGTGCAGTTGACGCGCAATCTTATCCATATTTTATGTTTGTTTGAAAAGACAACAAGAGGGAGCAGTACTGTATCAAACGAGCAGCAAATCGGGGGCGAGTATCATCGTCATCATCACCATCATCACAAACATCGGCGGCGCGTTATTGCACCGAAAATACCGATCCGGGTTGACCCGGCCGTCGGACAGGAGCTTGAAAGGCTCGTCGATGAGTTCGGTAAGATGTGTAGTTTGGGAAAAATTGTCACTGGTAGCAGTGGCATGAACGGATCGACAAAGGTAGTCGAGCCCCTCCCTCACATCTTTAGGCTCAAGAAGACGACGAAGAAGCGCAAGGGTAGCGAGCTTGACCTGGTTGATGAACAGAACGCTGGTCAGTGCGATTTTACTTTCTTTCTTGTAATGACTGCAATGCACATTGAACATGCTTGATAAGAATATTATCTATGATTATGGAAAGTACATGTGAGATTATGATTAACTCAAATTTATAACTTATAATTAAGAAAATGTAATTGTTTTCAAGGAATGCTTTCAATCAAATATATTATATGCTTTTTAATGATAAAAACTTGTGATAATAACTTATGTAGCATACATACTTTAAGGTGATTTTGATAGAAATGGTTATTTTAAATATTGTATTAGCGCTCTTAAGTAAAATATCTCTATTTTAACATAAAATTTTAATAAATATTTATCTTAAGAGAATAAAGCTTAAGTTAATTTGTACATATATATGCACACTTTATTATTCAATATTAAATCTAAATACAAGTTGTGTTGATTTTACTTTCTTTGCATATTATGAGTTTTATACGAACGCAGCACGTATATATTTGTATATTTAAATTGGAAGAAGTAAAGGTAGTTATTACTAGAAAAAAGACGTTCTACGTTAATTACAAATCGCAAGTTTAAATGATTTGTTAGGATTAAATTTGCTTTCTAATCATAATGTATAAAATTAAGAGCATTTGCAAGATATGCATACAAGAAATTCCTTACCAATAATTGTATTCGTTCAACAATTAGGAAAGACATTAAAACGCCGAATTAAGAAGGAAACGGCGGATGGTAGCAGCAGCAGTAGCAGTAGCAGCAGCAGTAGTAGTAGCAGCAGTAGCAGCAGTAGCAGCAGCAGCAGTAGTAGTAGTGCGAGTAACAGTAGTAGCGCAGCGAGCGTCGCCGGTAACGAATCGAGTAATCCAAACGAGCAACGATTGCCGCTGAAGAAGCGTCACTATCATGTATTCAGCGTGTACAGTAGCTCGCAGGAACAACCGACAGAGGGTGAAGAACACGTGGTTGACGGCGATGAAGAAGAGGAGGAGGATGAGGAGGAAGAGGAGGAGGAGGAAGATGTGGAGGATGAGGATGACGATGATGAGGAAGAGGAAGAGGAGTCGAGGAAGCACAGACCAAGTGTCATACCACATGCAAAAAGTATCGAGGGGACCGTTTTGAGGTACGGTACCGAGGCTGGTAGTGCTACCGGTGTCAGCCAATCGAAATCTACTGCTGCAGTTGAATCGTCGGTGCTGAAAGCTAAGAAAAGGCTTGAAAAAACTGGTAAGTGCTAGGCAAGATTATTTTTTTAAATAGAGGGACGCCCGCATAGTCCCATCGTGAATAATTAAAGTAATTTGGTTTAAATAAATATCATAATTGTAAGAAAAGTATTTTATAAAATAATTTTTTATATTAAATCGGTTTCATAATAATTCGATATAACATAATCGGTAAACTTAGTAATTTAGTATTTACTTAATTGTTTAATTATCGAAAGAAAATATTAAAATTCGAAGTACGATAAATATTTAAGTGAAAACAAATGTTGTTATGTAAATTTTATCTATTGTTTTGTAAAGATATTTTGAAAGTACCTTATCGATTTAAAGTCTTCGTAAGGAAAAATAGAAACAAAAAAATATATATATATATATATTATCATTCGCAGACTATATTTTATGAAATACATAACGAGGAACATTATAAACTAAATAATATTTACTTCCTTAATGCATTTAATAAGTTTTTATTATGCTTTATATTTCAATTATCATTGTAGCGCCAAAAGCTTATTTTTTCTACTACTTAAATAAAATGACATATTATTGTCATATAATACATAAATGTAATTGATGATTGTGTGAAACTGAAAATTTGAACATTTTTCCAGTATTTGAAAGCAGTACGATGCCTATTGAAAAATCACAAGGTCAAATTGATTCGCTACCGAGACGTAAAAAGAAGATCGTCAAAGATTTACGCGTAACAGTTACAAAACTACCTGTTGAAAACAATCATGTTATCGATAAGATTGAAAAATTAGAAAAAATGTGCGCCGGTGATAAAACAATGAAAACAAATATCGAGAAAATGTCGAAATCTGAGAAACTGAATATTGATAAACTTACGAATACTCAAGTAGAGAAGATCGATAAGCCAGATTCACGGTCTTTGGATTATCTTCAGCGAGCAGAGCGCACGGTAAAAAACAAACAATTAAAAGATGAAAAGGAAATTAGCGCAAACAAATCCATGAAAAAAGATGCGGAGTTAAAAATCGCGAAGAAAGATGTAGAGTCTAATAAGCTAATGAAGAAGGACATTGATATTAATAATAAATTCGTAAAGAAAGATCTAGATATTTTGAAAACAGTAAAAAAAGACGGGGACGTTGGTAATAAAATGTCCAAGAAAGAAATCGAACCAAGTAGAAGCTCGAAGAAAGAGAGTTCCGATACTATCAAATTGAAAAATAACGATTCAAATAAAGTAACAAAAAGAGATCCTGAAAGTAAAAAGAAGGATACGGATAATAAATTAGATAATAAAGTAGATGTATTCAAAAGTAATGAAGTCGTGCTTCATAAACCAATGAAAAATGAAATATCCAGTACTCCCACTCCAAATACTACAAGCAGTTCCTTAACAGTCATGCAGATAAAGAAAAAAGTTCGCCGCAGAAAAGCGATAAATCGCACGGGCTTTCCCACTTTGAAGAAAAAGAAAAAGAAACAAATCTTGACTGTTAAATTAAATAAGGAAGAGTTTGAGAAAGTTATTAGTAATACAATGCCGAATAATTTAAAAACTAATAATATTGAGATAAGAAAACCAAAGGTTGAAACTAAAGAGAATAAAGAAAAGGAGGCCGTGAAGAAAAAATCGGAAATTACGTACACGAAAGAAATCATAAATAAAGATGAAGGTATTGACAATAAAAAATTGGATGATAAGATTTTATACGACGATGAAAATACAACGTTGGAAGAAAGTGCACAGACTTGTTCCGGTCAATTACGTGTCAGAAAAGATTTAGTGGTCGAGTGTGATGGTAGTAAGCCGTGCGATAAATTATGTCCAGTTAAATATGAAAAAATTCAAGATTCGAGAATGTACGATGAGAACGCAACATTAGAAGAATCTTTAGAAAGGTATTTTTATATCAATATTATTTAAATATTTGTGTGCTTCCTTACTAAACAATTTTCACAAGATATTTTACATCCAAAATAACTTTATGCATGTGTTCTCGTATCGAAATGAAATATTAAATAAGAAAAAAACGTTATCAAATATTTCCAACAAATTAAAATAGCAAATCTTTTTAATTTGGACAATTTCATCGAGCGATTAGATTTTTTATTAACATTATTATTACCTAGGACCTCTGGCAAAAGGCAAGGAATTTATAAATTTCCAATATGACTGTTAAAATTGCGATATATCAAAATAAATTTTTATTACTTCATTGACGTACGCATGTTCAAAGAATATTTATATTATACATATATAATATAACATATATTATACATAAGAATTCATTATTCATAATATTCCAAATTCAAATTCAGCGATTTATTAAATTCTGCATTTAATAACCAGCGTATTTCGTTTACGTTTGCAGATACAATCAGAGTCAGAAAGTGGCAGTGTTGAGCGAAGAGAATGTAAGGAAGCTCGAGTGTGCGAATTTACAATTAAGCGTGAAACTGGAAAGCCACACCTGCTTGAATAATAATCACCGGCGAGTACGTAGTTCGGTCAGTCCTTGCACCCTCACCGTCAAGAATCTCAAGAGGCTCCGTAACGATTATGACACCGAGAGCGACGCGCTACCAAGTAGCGACATTGCTAGCGATGATCACGATAAGCAGGCAAGTTTTAACCCTTACATTTTGTTTATCTGCTTTAATTATCTCACAAATAGTGAAGAGTGGCTGACTGTATATAAGTGTATATAAGAGCAATGGTTGCTAGAGGTATGAGCAAATGCCTAATTTGTTATGAAAAAACGTAAAAGATGAAACCGATCGTATTGACTATTACAAGATTGAATCAGTATTATTCGATAATTTAGTAAAGCAGATAATAATAATAAGTTAGTACCACGAAGAATTCAACTCGCCGTCAGAGATTGTCTAAAGGTGTTTGTTTTTAAACTGATACAGGCAAGCTCGATGCGCTGTCGGAGGAAGCAGCCTCGGTGGAAAAAGCGCTACCTGCAGGCAGGTCTCTTCTCGGATTACTTCAAGGAGGACGAGCCCCGAAAAACGACTAATGCCGACTCGGGAAACAACAAGAATAAGATGCTCTATGATCCAACAGAGCATCCCCATGGCCTCCTTCCACCGCCCTATCACTGCGGCAAGTTCCTCAGACAACGAGAAATTCCCTTCCAGCTGCCTTATGATCTCTGGTGGCTGCACACTCATTCTCGGTTACCTGGTAGAGACCTCGTGCCATCTTGGAATTACAGGTGATGCTGCTAAGGGGACTGCTGTCTATATTTATTTATTCATGATGTTATGTCGAATTTAAAGCAGGCCATTTGATATTCATTCGTTTATTTGATTTTGCCCGATCAAAATATAAAAAATCGGTCATTTTAACATTTGAAGTTCGATAAAACATCGATAAAGCGAATTTTAATACAAAATAAGTTAGGATTATATCAAATTCAAACTTGCTTACATTTTTATTCGCTCTCATAATACTCCAATTGTTTCCACCTTCTTTTTTTTTTAATCAATGTGCTTTATAAATGTATAATGAAGATAAATTTATCATTACACTTGTGAACAAAGATTTATGCTATATGGGACATGGGATGTGAGCAATTAATCAAGAATTCATTTTATATCAGTTTCATAAATATACTTTTAATTGTGTTACGTTGGTTCTACTTTTTGAAGAGTTATTAAATAAGTTCAAACAAGAAAATATTAACATTATATAATAAGCTACCGTTTGTCCTGATCGGTTACAATTATACTCACTTTTATAATACTTGTTGTAAAAATGTTTAAAATCCTTTGAAAAGTGAGTAAAACGTTTTGAAGAATAATATAATATTACATATATATAGTATGCTTGAGCTCAATCAAAAAATTCGAGATAAATTGAAATTCTATGAATTATAATGAGTTAATGGTCAGATTTCCAATCGATGATTAAAAATAACATTGTTTATAAATTTATTTAGTAGAAATTTCTTTTATATGACATAATTTTTGATCTATTAAACAAAGAGTAAAGAGTAAAATCACTCTACCAAATTGGGTGACTCATCTTTAAATCTACAGATCATAATTAACAATATTTTGTATTCAAAATATGTTTCTGTCGAGTATCCACTGCTTTATGCCAATGCGAATCTAACAAATAGCCGTCGATGTGCTATCGTGAATAAGTACGAAATGAAAAAAAAAATAAGAAAACATAGCCGGCTTAAGTAACGAGTGACTCTTGATTATTAAAGGAAAATCCGCTCGAATGTGTATTACGATGTGAAGCCGACGATGCTGTACGAGGCGCAGTCGTGCGAGTGCAAGCCGGAATCCGGATGTGGCGACGATTGTATTAACCGGATGGTTTTCAGCGAGTGCTCGCCCCAATTCTGCCCATGTGGTGAGCGCTGTAAGAACCAGAAGATCCAGAAACACGATTGGTCGCCCGGACTTCAACGTTTCATGACCGAGTCCAAGGGCTGGGGAGTTCGCACTCATCAATCCATTAAGAGTCAGTTGCATCCTTTATATACACACACACACACAGACACACACACACACACACACACACACATATATATATATATATATATATATATAGGTCGGGCTGTCTCTAGTTACAAAAATTAAAATATCAAAGACCACTCGTACTATGTCAATATCAGTAAATCGTTGATTCGGGGCTAATTTATTAATCGAGATTTGAATTGCGGCTCGTATTAAGAAGTTGCCTCTCCAATCAAACATCCGTATTAAAGAAAAGATAACAGAGAGAATGAATTGACTAGAGATTAAACTATTCATTATTTTATAATAAATAAGACATAATCACAAAAAAAATGTTACTCAGTAATCATTGAAAGGTTGTTCTCAATGGTTTTCATTTTTCACAGCGGGATGTTTCATCTTGGAATACGTTGGCGAGGTTGTATCGGAGCGGGAATTCAAGACGCGAATGGCCACACGCTACGCCAATGATACACACCACTATTGTCTACATTTGGACGGCGGTCTGGTGATCGACGGGCACAGAATGGGCGGTGATGGGCGTTTTGTCAATCACTCCTGCGAGCCCAACTGTGAGATGCAGAAGTGGAGCGTCCATGGACTCCCCCGGATGGCCCTCTTCGCTTCGAGGGACATCGAGGCCGGCGAGGAACTCACTTACGACTATAACTTTGCTCTCTTCAATCCGTCCGAGGGACAGGAGTGTAGATGCGGCAGTGATGGCTGCCGCGGCGTCATCGGTAAGGGCTCGCTGTGAAAGTTTTGAGGTTCTGGTTCCGACGGTTGTCAACTTTGGATAATTGGCTAAATTACAAAAGCTAAAATTTTTCCCAACTTACAGCATGGTAATGGTTATACTTCTTAAAAAATGTTAATGCTCCTTTCCTATACTTATGCACAGTTGTCGCATTCGATTTAAGAGCTTACTAGATTATTATTACACCTAAGAACTTTTGCAATTCCAATACACTTGCCAAAGCTGTCTGATTTACGATGAGCAGCGTACTTGGCAGACCGTTCGAGCTGAGCTTCGATTTTTTCAGAAAGCCCATAGCATTCGCTTAATCGTTTAATGGTACTTGACTCCATAGGTGGCAAGAGTCAACGTGTCGCCAGGCCATTGCTCCCGGCAAGCCAATTGACGATAATCAACGGTAGCTACTTAAGCACTATCAACGAGCGTCGCTCCGTCGGCCGTCCGCGGAAGAACTCGCGCAAGATGAACAGTACAGTTATACAGGCACAGGCACAATCGAGTCTCCCATCCTCATCCAATCGCAAGAGCGGACTCTGCAAGACACGCAAAATCGGATCGGACGGCAGCTTGCTTCCCACCCCCGCTATTAAGCCCTTGTCCCATCAGCAGCGTTGTTTCGTCCTCGAGCATCGCTGTTTCCTCGTGCGTAATATCGAAAAGATACGCAAGTACAAGCAGCCGGTTATATTGGTGAATACTCAGGTAAGTGTAGCACAATTAATGATTAGCCTCACCGATAATAAGCCGCCTAACGTAATCGTGCGCTTGCCATGATAGAACAAAAGCGTGATAAAAGTTGGCAACATTACGGGTGTTGGGGTGCAGACTACGAAGGAGAAGAATTCCGGGGAGTTAAAGGCCAATAACGAGGTCTTCTTCACGCATCTGACAACACTTACCAACACGGGCTCGAGAACCGTGAGAACTAGAAGGCTTGCGCAGGCGCAAGATGATCCTGAGGTTAATAAGACCGCTAAATTAGCTAAGGTGAGTGCGAGACTTTTTGCCAATGGATTGTGTTAATACCAATGGCATACGTTAAGGGTGCGAAAAATCATTAATGCGTCGTAAGGAGCTGAGAGTGCGTACTTAATTGAAATGTCCATCGATGCTTTCCGACAGGTTTTGAAAGATCTTTACACGGTTATAACGGGCGCAAAGGATGAGAACGAGGCATTGCTGTGCACTCCATTCCTGACCCTTCCACCCAAACGCAAGCTCTCGGAGTATTACGAGAAGGTGCAGGAGCCCATCGACCTCACGGTAATCGAGCAAAGCATCGAGAACGGGCAGTACAAGACGGCCGAACAATTCGACCAGGACGTCATACGCATGTTCGACAATAACGTACGATTCTTCGGCCGGACCTCCGAGATCGGCATCGCGGCGGCGAGGCTGAGGAAGCTGTATTTGGGTCGAAAGGCCGATTTTGTTATACCGATTACGGAGGCTACGGGATTGCCGCCCTCGCAAGCATTCCTTCCACCGAGGGGATCCACCGCTGGCGAAGAGGACGTCATTCGTTGCATTTGTGGATTGCATCGGTACACGATTATTCTCTGCTTTATACTCTTATATATTTTCATGATTTTTAAAGCTAGAATATGCACGTTTAAAATAAGAAGTAAGAAAAATTCCGTACTCTAACCTTACAAATTCTTTGTTTACTTACTATACTAATATTCTTCATGTTGATGTAATCGCTCGGTGTTCATTATTTGGAGTGTACTTTAGTGAGATAAAATTCAAGACGGCTGCAGAAGGTAGGACAATTGAAAAAAGTACGAGGATTAAAATTTCGTGTGCTATATATATATATAATTACGATAAATCTTATTAAATTTCATTTGACTTTCATCAACTTTAAATAAGCTCAAATATTAGTATCAAATATTCTTTATGTTCGTTACTATGAGACTCGTTAGAATGCGCTTGTAATTCCGATTACAGAGATGAAGGTCTGATGATCCAGTGCGAGCGGTGCCTCGTGTGGCAGCACTGCGATTGCGTCAAGGCGGATACAAGCGCGGACTCGTATCTCTGCGAAAGGTGCCAGCCTCGGCTCGTCGATTACGAAATACTTCTCGAGACCGAGGAGGAAGAGGAGGGCAAAAAATACTATGTCACCTTGATGCGCGGTGACCTGCAGCTGAGAACCGGCGACACCGTTTACGTTCTCAGAGACACTCCGGATAAGCATACGTATAAGACCATAGACAAGCCGGATTACGAGCAGATGGACATATTCAGAATCGAAAGGCTTTGGAAGAACGAGAGGTCAGTTCATGCATTTCAAGATTTTCAGGCTGTCATTAGCAACGAAAAGTAATCTTATCATTAATCGACGTGTTACAGTGGCGAGAGATTTGTGTTTGGGCATCATTATCTACGACCGCACGAGACTTATCACGAACCGACGCGCAAGTTCTACGAGAACGAGGTCGTCTGTGCTCCGCTTTACGAAGCGGTCCCTTGCGAATTGATAGCCGGTCGTTGCTGGGTTCTAGATCCGCACACCTTTTGCAAAGGTATTGTGTTGTGTCACATTGTTTGTCATTGCGCAATGTAATTACACAAGCATTGAAAAAATAACAATGTCTGGATGTTAGAATATATTATTTGTTGATATTCTGACGGTATTCGTTTTGTAGCAATCGAGTGTAAGAATGGTTTAACGATTGCTTTCAGGTCGACCGGTCTATTCAACACCAGATCACATTTATGTTTGCGAGTACCGCGTGGATCGAGCAGCCAGACTATTCACTAAAGTCGCGAGGTCGCGGCATCAAGTCTGCACAAAACCTTATGCCTTTGAAACTTATCCGCAACGCATAAAACATTATCGGACTTATTTGGTGAGACTTGCAAATGTATTTTCATTGGCATATTCTAATTTTTAAAATTGTAGTTTCTTTAATTTAGGATAAACTAAAAACAAAGAAAAAATTTCAATATGTACAAATGTATTAACTTGATGTGCACTTACTTTTGTCTCAATTTGGCAAATTAACAATTTGATATTGAAGAATCGAGAGTTACATTTACATTTATTTACAATTATTACTACATATTATTATTTATAAGTTTGAACTCGTAAGGGGTCATAGTAAAAAAATACAATAACAAAATGCATGCGATTTAAGAATGTTATTGCTTGGGTATGACGCACAAACAAATCTAAGACATAAATATTTCAAAATAACTGATAATGTAAAATAGGAGCAAGTCGTTTATCGAGTTTATTATCTGCGATTTATAAATGTGTTTTTTTTCTTTTCTTTTTTTTCCATTTTCCAGCCACATAGCCTCGATGGCATACAAGTAAGTGGTAAGGCTACGAAAGAGAAAAAGAAAAATTGTTCGGAAACCGAACAAAGCGCCAGTAAAACGGAATTTCGAGATAATGTTAAGCCAAGTAACAAAGATCAATTACACAAGCCTCGAGGTCGTAGGCGACTTATAGAGAATTCATGTATAACTACTCACATAAACTTTGTTCAGGTATTGTAATTTAAAAATATAAATTTTAATAATTGAAATTTTTAAATCCAATAATGTAAATAATTAACACGTGTTTTTAGAGAGAAGATAAAAAAAAGAGACTGAATGGCATTTTGCTGATTTTATTAGATAGATTGCCAAATAAAAGTGAACCTCTAGACATGTCGAGTCTTTTGGAACGCAACAGAAGAAATCGGAAAAGACCGGGTATACTAAATCCGTGATATTGGGTTAATATAATATATATATTCTAATAATAATACATGATTATAGTATATTAATTTTTCTGTTTGTTTTTTTTCATCAGGTTATTTAAATACATAAAAAATCACTCAGATGACTGAAAAAATGGATGATAACAACTTTAGCCAAATAGGTTGTCCTTCAAGCCTATACTTTGTGACATTTAAATTCTTTCTCCTAAATAGTCGAGAATAAAAAAACAAATTTTACGCAAAAAAAAAAACAAATTTCGCACAGTTCGGACAATCCAAGAAAACAAATAATGAGAAAACTAAAACTTATCATTCGTGGATCGAATCCACCGATTATTCAATTCGTAGCAAAATTTAAATATTACGTAAACAAGCCTACTTGTAATTATTAACCCATCGGATAATTCAAAATAATTCGATGATTGTAAAAAGTTATATACAGAAATGAAACGCGTTGCACAGAGCAGACATTTAGAGAATCGCAAAGATTTGTAAACTAATTTAACAAAAACAAAAAAAAAACAAAAAAAAATCCTGGAGAGACGAAAGAAAAAAGACCTCGGATATTCTTTTGAGAGGCCGTTGGACTTTTTTTTTATTTCGTACAACATATGTTATTTAATGTATATTGAGAAAATACATTTGTACAGAGTTATTTGTAAATTATTTTTATTTTTATCAGGTTAGTAATCATTGTTAAGACCAGAATAGTCGTTTGTACAAATTATAAAAATGCGCACCGCGAGAAGTCAAGCTTAAAATATTGCGCAACATTTAGTATTATATTTTTCATAACCCTGGTGTAATTAATGAAGTAGGGCATAGACACTTAAAACAAATTAATTAACAAGCGGCTGTTTTTCTCTTTTTATATATATATTTTTTTTTAATTTTTTTTTTTTAATCGAATCTTGATTTTGTAATAAAATCATATCTGTGTCTAACTTGCCGGTTAGATAACATTTATTCATTTTAACTTGATAGCTTATTAAGATTTAAATGAAAAAGTGTAAAGTCAAAACAAGACGTTAAATTTATTTAATATACAGTCTTGGGGGAAATAAAAATGTCCTTTACAGAGTCAGGCATCTTATATTAACGATTAAGTTATTTTTATCTTAGTAAAAATAATATATTTTATTTATTTCACGTCTTCTTAGAATTAGTTTTCTTTCTTTATAATGGTAATATTTTTTAAATCGTATTAAAAATATTTACTTTATATTCGGAAAGAGAAATGGCGAAAACAAAAGTTCTTTAATATAAGTTCGTTACAAATATAATTTAAAAACCTCTTTTTATGTTTAAGGATTTTCATAATATATTCATACAAAGGTAACTATTTTTATAATCAATTATTTCAAAAGTGAAGCTACATACACTATAAAATAACTTCTAAAATATTAAAGGCTAAAATGAATTATATTATAATGCACTTAGATGTCCAACTCTGTCGAAGAATTTCAAAGTAGAATAAAAATAGTTATCGCTGTCACGCTTGGACTATTCCAGAGAGAAAAGAAGCAATTTAGCAATCTAAGCTTTTGTGCTAAGTATAAGTAATCCTAGTACAAAACGAATTTTACTTCCGGTGGAAACAAAAACTGTTCTTAAACCTCCTAAAATATTTCTTTGTGTAGTATATTTTTATGCATAAATCGAAATAGTCTTGCGCTTTCTTATATTTGACAGAACCTGTGTAGCTTTATGAATGTGTGCGTATATAAATAACTGTAGCGCGAGTATATACAAATCTAAGAATATGAATCCAAGAATGCCTAATGTACGTGCAGAGAGCGTGCGCAACTGTGTATGTATGCATGTATGCGCGCGAGCGTGTGTGTAACCGAGTGCGTTTGGTATGTATGTAAATGCCATAGTGGTTTGGTATGTTTTTTTAAAGCCGCGTGCTTATAATACAAAAACATAGTATCCGATATTTATGATGTTATCTTTTTTCACTAGAGAAAAATTTAATAGTAAATTGGCGATATCGTATGAAAATTGATAATGAGCATTGAAAAATACATGGTAAATATCCCCTGAACTCGTTATAAGCTATAAACTTTGAATAGTTAACGATAAATATCTGTGAGGATTAGAATATAATTTTCTAATCTGTTGGAAATTATTGAAAAACAGCAAGTTAAGTATAACAAAATTATAATTACTGTTGAAATAAAATTTTTGAGTGAATTGGATAATAATATTTAAATTGTAAATTAACTATAAAGTCTATAATTTGCTACAATTTTGAATGATTCACACTAGCATATACGACCTCTAATCTAATTTTTACTAAATACAAATTTATTATATTTTCCGTAACGGATTCCATAACTTATAATTAATAATTATGCCTGCTGAAACATGTTTTTAATTTTTGCCCTTGTTCTATCAAGACATTCACATGGTATATAACAATTTCACTTTTGCGGAATTTATTATTTGAATTTGATTGTTTGAAGGATATTTGTAGAAAAAATGCATTAAAAACTTTTTTCAAGAATGAATTTTGTATATTTTTATTAATGACTGCAAGCAATTAATTTCTTAAATTATCCCTTAACATAATCGATGCTTATGTTCTTTTATTTTTAATATGACATCTGGGCACGTAAGAAACTGGCCAATCATTGCAAAAGTAAGGCAATCATCGCACTCTTACGATGAAATTTATATTTCTATAATATATGTCGTTTGAAATGACTTTCAAACACAGTAACGCTGTGGTAATAACATGTGCTGTATTCTTAATTTAAATAAATTTTCTGGTTATTTCTTAAAAAATAGTTGGTTTTTTATCTGTTTTATATTTTTTTATCCCCTGAGCATTGAGCCTTGAGTCTCGAGTTTCTCAAGAAAGTTTTTTTTTCTTTGGGAAAGGAACAATTTGCTTTCCTTGAAGGTACATATTTGAAATTTGTTTTTTGCATTTTTTAATTTTTTTTTTAATTTTATGTATATATAGTAAGTGATGAAAATTTGCGTACAAAGGAAAAACTGATCGTAGCATCATATAAACAAGACTTAAAGTATATAGTTAATATCAAATAAAGTGAATCTCTAAGATCATCGTAAATAGCAAAAACCGTTTTAATAATTATGTATTACTTTTTTATCGATTTATTTTGTCAGTGATATATTTATAAATATTTAATACATTTCAAATGTTTTCAAATCGAAGTACGTATGAACGTATTACTTTCGCCTTCGATTTCACGAAATTAATTTAATTCTTAAATGAAAACTGAAACTGAATATGAAAAAATATATATAAATCAATGCGGGTACTTTGGTTTGAAAGAATGAAATTTATTAAATTTATTAATTTAATTAAAAACAAGAACATGTGAAAGGTAACTGATACATTCAAACTTATTTAAGAAGAATACGATTTCATGGACATGAAATAAATCTAATTAATAATCGTATGGGATTATACTAGTTTTCTTTTCCTAGAGTTAAGAATGTAAGTTAATAGAATCCTCGCTTAATAATAATAATAATAATAATATTGATAAAATGCGAGCAAGAAAAAAGAAATTAATCGAATGATCTATTAACATAGAGTTGGTTGGTATACAAATACCATCAAATTCACAAGAAACTGATGGTTGACAACGAGCACACTTGTTTTCGTTATTACAGGCTAACCACTGTAATACGTGATTTTGCAAATAAAGAACAAAAAGGTAGTTTAATCGAACTTCGCTGAAAGGATACAGTTATACAATGTGCAGTAGTATCCTGTATCCGAAAAATCGAAAGATTAGTATAAATTTTTACATATTTACATAAAGCTCTGTAATATCAATGTCTATCGTAAACTTCAGTGCATTTTGTTATATCGAACATTGATAATCCGTATGTCGGTCCTTACGCATGCAAGAGAAGTAGTTTATTTTCAGTCACGCGTATAATCTTTCTTTTTTCCATTTTTCAATTTCTTTTATTTCTTGCGTATTGTTTTAAAAATGCTTTCTCTGGTGCCGCTCGTCAAAAGTTCTAATATAAATTTTGCTTGTTTCGCTGCGTACAATAATAACTTAAATCAACATGTGGCCTTTTCTACGCATAATATTAGGTCAATGTACTTGTCTACACGTACGTATGTATTGTTGTGCGTCAGTGCGCATATATACATACATTTAATCAATAGAATTTCAAGAATGTTCGAGCTTTCAAATTTTGTGAAAAAACCTGCCTACTTTTAAGACATATTCAATGAATCTTCTGTACAATATTTTTATTGATTTTTCTTAATCTTAACGGAAGATCAAACATGAAAATAATGTTACCAATTATATGCAACAGATTTTTATCAATTCTTTTAAACTTTGAGTTTTTTAAGTTTTATTATGTTTTATTAATTTAATTTACGTGTTTGTCAAAATAAATAACATAACGTATCATCATTAATATAGTTAAAGATAAGTTTATTTATGATGTATTCGTTGCTTCAAATATTTTATTAATTTGTTCGTACGAATTTTATATATCACCAGAGCACAAACAATATTAATTCCAATGCGAGCTTATAATAAGTCTCCGATCATAAATAAGTATCTTACTATCTTATTTCAAAGTTAAATAAAAATGTATAATCGAGGAGACAAGCTGGGTGTGTATTTTTTATTTGCCATTAGGATCAATGAAGACAATATTCTAAAAATGTTCTCATATTTTCATCTGTTTAGAAAGATCATGATTAAAAAAATCAACAGACGATTGACAATAACTCAACTTGATCAATCGTAATATGTATACAGATTCATATGTGTGTTTGCAAACAAACGTTTGCGCGTGTGTCTGTGCGTGCGTGAGTGTTTGTATATAATGTATAAAAGCCCATCGTCTTCACAAGTTCGGCACTTTTTTTCTCGTAAAATAAATGTTTTCTGTCTTACACCGAATGAATTTAATCGAAAAGGAAAAATTCTAATTTATCGTCGGTCACTAAAGATTTGCGCGCACACATACGTATACCCACTCCCACTAAAAAAAATTTCATCTAAAATTCATGAAATTGTTTCTCATACTTACGATACAATAATGATTGCTTTGTCTGCCACGTACGTACGTACGTGTTTGTGTGTGAGTGTGGTGTGGCGTGTGTATATGAGCGTGCGCATGCCATTACTCATAAATATGTTAATTCACACTCTTAATTTGCTTTGTTTTGCTTCAACATCTTTTGCTAATTATCGACATTTATCAAAGGCAATCACCAACTCGCGTGCATGCAGACCGGCAATCAATTAATGCTGCTGCTGTTGATGCTGCTCTTCTACGCCCGGCGACTGTTGATGCTGATGCTGTTGGTTGACTTGGTTGTCATGCGGCGGTTCCAATTAATCTTACCCATCGCTGTCGTAATAATGTCCTGCAAAACGACAATATCTTGTTACGGGTAGAATTATTATTTAAAATTGCATTCATACTACTTGACGGCATAGTATTAAAAATATATCATCGATATTGACAGCTGCTAGGTTCAAAGCATTTAATAAGGAGTTACTTCTATTCAAAAATAAAACTCTTTATTAGTTAATGCGCTTCAACATGTAAAATTAATTAGCTTATTAATGAATGTTTATAATTGCAATTAGCGTTTGTTGTGAAGAATTTGGCTCGATTCATTGGAAAACTATTAAGAAATATGGGCGACGCCAAGATTCGTTAAATCAACGAATTTTCATATTATATTCAAAAAGTAGTCTCAGTATAAGAATATAGAGAGGCATATTTTACATAATTATATTATTATAATTGAAACTGCATTTTTATTTCGCAAAAATTTCGACCTTTCACATTTTAATTCAATGATGAGCAGTCATTTTTCTCTTTATTATCCATTAATAATAGGATTTTAATAGATGAAGATGTATGAAAATAATTTTAAGTGCATTAATCTCATTCAATGACGTCTCTAGAACATAACGTTTCTTATTGTCCATAATAATATAACACATAGTTTCTTTTTATTTTATAAATTACTTAGTTTATAATGCACCAAATTGTAATAAACGGATTTATTTCATGGTAATGTATATGTTTTCGAATGTTTTTAATGTGATAATACTAATTTATAATATATATTAAAATTGCTATAGTTAAAAATAAGTGGAAAAATAGTAAAAAATAAAAATTCTATTGTTCATGAAACATTTCAATTGTTTTCGGTAATAAATACATTTTACGATATGATTAAATGTTTTCATTATATTATCATGAAATGGAAATTATAACCCATCTTTTATAAATTATAAATTTATTTACATTCATATCCATGATGAATTCTAATTTATTGTAACGATAGTTAAAAAAAAAAACCGATATTTTCATTAAAGATTTTAGAATCTAACGGACTGCATTATCTATATTAATTGTAATCTACATGAATACATTGAGACTATTAAATGAAACTTGAGATAAAGTTTGCAATGCAACTGATACCTGCTTTCTCGAATTGAAAACAAGTCGGATTTATTTATCTTGCAATTATTACGTTCAATTCATTTACTATCCCTTTATTTTTTAAAAAGAATTAAAACATTGTACATAAATTTTATTAATCTTGTATTAATATGATGATTTATAATTTCAATAATATTGAAGTTCTTAAACTAAAAATAATATAAGAATATTTCAATAATTTATTAGAGGAATGCAGCACTAAGAATAAAAAAAACAATTAAGAATTTAAATATATGAATATGTAAGATAAATATCATTGATATAGTTTAATAGCGAAAATGATAATTTAAGGATAAATAACCTTTAAATATAAATGAAATTAGTTTATGATTCAACGTAAAAATTACACTAAAAATAGAACGTTAGAAAAATATTTAATAAAAAATAAGTAAGAATAAGAAATATATGGATACAATAACAGTACAGATAAGATGATAAGATAAGCAAAGTTTAAGGCTCCGAAAATGTAGGTTTTTATTTTTCAATTTTTATAACTGGCGAATTTAATAATTGAATGTATTAATTAAAATTAAGAAGTAACATTGGATCAAAATTGTTAAGTTCAATAAATGATATCAGCGAATAAAAATTAGACACATATAAAATAAAAAAGAATTGAAAAGAGTTTTCCAATACTAATCCATAATGACGAAATGAGTTATTTTTATGCTATATTAAAGATATAAATTTCCTATAATTCGTCTAATGTACTTTATGTACAGTATTATATTATTCATAAGTAGGCGTGATGAATTAATAAAAAAATTAATAAAATAATTACTAAAATCTTTTTAATATAATAACTCGTTTAAGCAAAAATTTAGTATACAAAGTAACAAAAAATTAAATTAAATTTTTATTATTGTTCCAAAATTTTTTATTGGCAATTAAGATTTAAAACTAAGAGGATAATTTACAACTTATTAAACTGGCAATTTGTAGGTTAAATATATGGATTTTTAATAATAATAGTTATAATTAAATTCAATTAACATCAAGTTTATTTATACAAATTTAACTGACAGTTAAGACTATAATGTTGAATGTGTTAACAAATCAATCGAAGAAGCATTTACTTTTCATCAATAATAAACTCATAAAATAACAAGCAATCTATTTAGAATAATCGATCAATTTTGCAACAACATTCACGTAATATAATATTAAAACATTATATTTTATAAGGTTTAATTATTAAAAAAAAATTGAATTTTTTAAATAAACAACTGACTACATATGTTAGTTATATATTTCAAAAAGTACCCTTTAAAAAACAAAATTTTTAATACAGTTTTTAGCTATTTAAGTAGAAGTCTAACAAATAATCGTATTTTCAAGGCTAAAATAACATTAAATGATAATTCAGAATATAACTTTCTGTTTAAACACAAATTTACACAATCATCAATTTATGCTTTATATATATAGGAAATTTCACATTGAAAGGCATTAATTACAAACAAAATAGCTAGCATTCATTATAATTAACATAATTAGTTAGTGTTATTTAATTTAATAATTTTCTCTTAGGTTTAGTTTTTTATATTTCCTTTATTGAAGTAAATAATGAATATTTTAATATTAAAAATCACTTTTAAACTTTTTTTTGTTTTGATATTATCTTTAATTTTATAAACTAAAATTAGTGAAACAGATTTATTATCTATAATTATTATAAAATAACAATTTGTTTACAATGGAATTTCAATTATCAATATAGAAATTAAATATATTTATTTCATCTACTATTGAGACGAAGTGCAAATTTAAGGTGTGATTAATTTATAGATAGAAACATAAGGCACACATCTTTTGATTTAATAGACACGTACCTATGTACTTACAGGGCAAAAAACAAGAAAAAAGAAACAGATTATGGAAATTTTTTTTACTGTGTAATATTACAATATTACTACATTTATTTATAAATGTATATTCATTATTTGGTCATAAAAATTTACATTTTATTGAATATTCAATAAACAGATATGTTATAATTATATAAAATTTACAAAAGTATTTTCATGATAATCGTGAATTGTTGCCCAAAATTTTGTTGAATATACAAAAGTCACTGATCTTTATAGCAATTAATTAAATTTAATTTAATTCTAATATAAATCAAATTAAGTATCGAAGAACCACATCACAAAAAATAAAAACATTGAAACAAAGTGAAAAAAAAAACTTTTATCCAGCTATTTTAACAATTCCATTCGAGAGAGACGATTATCAGAGTTGCAACACTGTATACATGCTACATGCATTCTTAAAAGAACAAAAATTATCTTTTAATGTTCAATCGTTCAAGTACTACTGTGAAGAAATATATATCAGTGTATTTCTAGAAAACCAAAAATAATGATACGTACTACGTGAAACATAAAATTCAAATCGTACAACAAAGTATTTAGAATATTTCGGTTGAGTATGGATTTTGCAAGAGAAACGCAAAGTTCAATTGTCTTTTATTTCAATTTAACTGTCTATCAAAATTGCACGGGTAGACAAATGAGAAAACAATTATTTGTATGCTTTGTAAAGTATAAAATTTATTGTTAAATTATTCAAATTTTTTTACAAACTCCAAACGGTGAAAACTTTTTTTTTTTATTGTTTGTTCATTTTTTGGTGTACTAGCAACGCTTAGTATCGCCAATGTTGTAATAATATTTCTAATAATAAAAATTGTGTTTGACGAAAAAAATCAGACACTCCTTGCAGTAGTAGTAGCTTATCCATTTAAATTGAATCTTATATTCAATAAAAAATAATTGACTATTTTACATCCTTCAAATAATCAAACGTCCTTAAACGTTCTACAACATAGTTTATTATAATTTTTTTTTATTTTTTTTTATTTTTTATTTTTTTATTTCAAAGTGTTTCCTTAATTCGTGTGTGCAGTTACAAGTTCAAATATGAAATGGTCGTATAAAGCAAATCGAATTCGAGCACATGGGAAAAACAAAAAGAACAAATTACAAATCCTCACGCAACGAGTGTGCGTAACGCGTTCATTAAGTTCGTGAATAATTGTTCCAAACACCCAGGCAAAGGAGCTCGCGAGCCACTTTGTCTCCTTAAACGTGTGCTAGAACCGGAAGAAAGGCCACGTGCTTATAACAACGCCGGCTGCCGATCGTTTCGCTCGTACAAACAAACGCTTCGGGCCATACGTTCTCGTGTGAGGAAGCGCGCACGAGATACTTAGCGCGACTCCAGTAAGGCCCAAAGAGAGGATCGAGAGGCTTATTTGGTAAAGCCGCGATAGGAAATGGGATAGGAATGAAGATTGGGCTGGATAAGACAGGGAGGGGGGAGTCGTACACACGACGCGCTTTCCTCAAAGAACACGATAATGTGGGAGCATGAAGCGCAGAGTGTTCGAGCTGTACTCGTGAGGATGATGGATAATAGCTTACTTTTCTGTCATCGGACTCTCGCAAGGCTCAACCTTCCCGCGCCTCTCCCTCGCGATGATTATTTTTTACTGGCCGCCTGACCGCCGCCTCCGGACCCAGTCGTTGTCTGCGTTTGCCCGCCAGTCTGCTGTTGTTGCCCACTGCCGCCCCAATACTGGTTGTAATACTGCGGACTCCAATTATTCCAGTTGCCGTTACCGTAGCCGCTGCCAGTCTGTTGGCCGTAGCCGCCGCCGCTTCCGCCACCTCCGGTGGATTGACCGTAACTATTCTGTCCGTAGTTCTTCCAGTTATTACCGGCACCACTCCAGTTGGACTGCTGTTGATGTTGATTCCAGGTGCTCGAAGCCCCCTGCAGGCAACTCCAGGTTCCTTGGGACTGTCCTTGCCAATTGCTCTGATTGCTCCATACCACCGAGCTGCCGTGCTGACTTCCTTGATACCTGTACATATTCGCTATGTTAATTTAGTTTGAATTTTAACGAACGGCATGGACATTCACGACACATTCTTCTTACAAAAGTAGCTGAATAATAGTCTTTTTGCTTGCATTGCTTTTAATTAAAAAACACTTTGAACAAATACGTTAATTAATTTTATTTTTCGACCATTCATTTCATTTTACTTACCATAAGAAAGTAATAAGAAATTAACACGTTAAAAGAAAAATGTTACAAGATCCGAAGTGTTGTTCTCAATCGAGCTTCTGTTTTCGTGGGATAAACTACTCAATTGGGTTAAATAACTTTTAATAATATTCGTCCTTCTTTTTATGAAAACGTATTTCAGTCAAACTATTATTACCCCATAGCGTTCCATGCACCCGGACGATAAGCGCCGACAGGCCTATTGCGTTCGTTCATCGAGCGTCTATCGTTTGCACCACTTCTAGGTGGTGGTACTGCACCTCTGCCTCGTCCGATGCTGGGAAGTCCATAACCCGCGCCGTGTCTTATGGGTCCGCCTCGCATTCGGCCACCGTCTCGCCAGCCACCTCTGCCACCCCCATTTCCGCCGCGCCATGCGCCGCTATTCCTTCTGTCGGTATCTACACAACAAAGATATCCTCCCTTAATTATTTGTCATACTTTTTATTTCGTTTCCTGTACTTAGCTACAATGACTATTAATCTATTCGAGGGAAGGCTCGTTAAAAATATTGTAACGCTCTTATTATATTTTTATTATTATATAATTTGTTAATGTAAGAAAATTATTGCATATTTATTTATTTGACACCTTTTATAAAATCATAAAACTGTAAAGTTCAACAATTTGTAATATACATAAACAAACTTGGGGCTTTTACGATTTTCTATGGCGTATGAAATTTCGAAGATATAAATTCAAGTTTATTGTTTAGTAAAAATTTACGTACAACCAGATCTGCGATGTCCTCCTCTGTTGTCTCGGTTATTACGATCTTTTTGTCCATTATCGAAACGAGATCGTTTACTTGGTTGCTGTGTATTTTGTCCATAACCAGCAGTTTTACCCTCCATATTATAAGCTTCAATTAATTTTTTGCCCTCTTCTTCGTCAAGTTCAGCCCATATAACCTCTTCAAATGAATCCCCAACAGTGGGCGCACTAAAGTTTGCTATAAATTTTTATTTTTATTTCTTTTTAGTATAGAATTTTTATAATTATTTTATTAGCAAATAAAACAAATATTGTTTAAACGTACATATAACTATTAGTTACGAATATCATATATACGATATCATAATTGTATTTTCTTACAAACAATAATTACAAAGTCCAAATTATTAAAAAAAAAAATGGAACTAACCCTTAACTTCTAAAATAGAAGATTCTCTGATCTCTTCACCATCTGGTTCTTCTTTACGTTTGGCAATACGCGCTTTAAATTCTTCGTCTGTTGGAACTAAGACTACAGCTTTCCGATGAAAACCATAAAAGTTTCTCGTTTTACGTTTTTGCGCTGATCCATATACATTTGCTTGCTTTAAAGTAATACATACATATATATTTATATGCGCATACGTTATGTGTGCACGCACAAATAATTTCATATTTCCGAGTATTTTCCTCATTTATGTATATGCTTATGTAGCCAAAGATTTTATTTTCTAATTGAATGTTTTAATTAATACATTTATCAAACTTACTTGGTCTAAGATATAATTTCGTCTCCTTGATGGCGCCGAGTCTAGTAATTTAGTGAGAGCTCGTGAACACTTATCAACAACAGTTTCCCAACGTCCTTTATAACTCTCTTTTAACGGTGCACCATCAACCTTAATAATTTTTATTTAAACTTGAAATCAGGTTTATCTTGCACACACACACACACACACACACACACACACACATATATATATATATATATAATTTATAGTGAATCGTATGGAACTATTGTTAATAATAAAAAATTAATTCTGTTGGTACTTACGGTCATTTTTTCAATAAGATTATGAGTTCCTAATACACTGTAATATTTTTCTGGATGTTCAGTGACATGTTTTCTAGCCCATGAAGTCTTTCCAGAAAATGGCAATCCACATAATAAAATAACTTCGCAGTCTTCCCTTTTCTCAGGTCTACGAGGACCTGTTATTCTGTCATTGAGATCAACTTTACCAACGGAAATATATCTGAAAAAAAAAAAAATATTAAATTGCTTATTTTTTTTTTCATATTTATTATTAATCATAATCGTAAAAATAAAGTGAGTGCTAGATAATCTTAGATGAAAATATTTTTACAAAAAATATACTTTTATAAAAGCTTGTATAAATTTTTTGTTTGTACTAAATTTATTGTGTTTTTAATTTTATGAATAAATTATTTTATTAGTCGGTATAAGAATTTTTGTTGTTAAAAAAAAGAAGAAGAAAAAATATTTATATAACATTTAAATATATTTATAAAATGTATAAATATATATATTTGATTCAGCTTACTCATCTAAGATATTATCGTTCCAATTTTCCTCCTGTCCAAGATTAACTGTAAACGAACAATTTTTGCTTAACACATGAGGAAATAATGCTTTATTTTGGAGATCCTCTTTCTTCAAAATGAATGCAGGTCCTTGATTTTCTCCATTAATTGTGTATGTAAGAATAACGTTTCCGTCCGTCTCGAAATCAGCGAAACAACCGACGACATCATCCTTAGCAAATGTCTTGCCATATTCTACAAATTCATTGTTTGTAGATTTTTTTCCTGTACTATCATAGCCATACGATAGTTTCACCTCACCTAATAAAACAATATAATTATTCTTGTAATTATTTACAATTTAATTATTCTTCTAACAATATAATATATTTATTCTAATAATTCTTCAAATGCGTTTATTACAGAATTATTAGTATTATAGTATATGAATTATTGCAGTCTTATCTTTTTATGAAACAATTTTTTTTTTAATTTCACACCTCTAAACATTTTAAGCCAATATTTGTACCATTCCTTTTAGAGATTGCATCAAGTTTGCAGTAACAACTTTAAAATAGAAACAAAAAACAAATTTTACAATGAGAAGTGTTGTTAACATTATATTTCAACTATTTTATATATAATAAATGAAATAGTTATGGACGAAGAGTTTGATTATGTTTTGACTATCAAATTATCGACAATTTGATATTTGCCATGTTTACTGATTAAAAGGAAAACGTTTGTCGTCAAAAGATCTCATTAATAATTCAATTAATTAATATAGCAATAAATATTTTCATACCTAATTGCAATGATGTGTCAAGTGTCGACCAACCAAGCCTAAGGACACTAGGTATATCCTCATCAATGGGTATTGCACCACCGGAATTTGGGGTATTAGGGGCAGGTGGCGCAGGGGTTATAATCTTGTCGAACCTGGCATTTACGCGTGCCTCATAAAAGACTTTACCTTTAGTGAAACCATAGGAGGCTCGAACACCAGCCCACATAAAATTAAAGCCATCGCCCTGCATAGGCGAAGCCGAAAAGTACTGAGTCGTGTCTATCACCAAGTTCAAATCCGAGTCATCTATGAGGATAAAAATTTCAATGTTATATTTTGTATAATAGCATCTTTAGTGTTCAGATACTTTATTAAATAATTTTGAAGTTATCATTTAAGTTTGTAAAATTATCGATTATCGATAATAATGAAAATGATTCGAATTCAAGATTACAATTTTAAATGTGTTCATATTGATAAATAGTCTCATCAAACAAACACGAACTTTTATAGTATTATAAAATTATTTGAAAATCTCTCGCTTACACCAAGATAATAAAAGCGCGTTATCATCATAGGATGGTTCGTTTTCAGGTCTTGCAATAGGCGGAGCACGTGAAGTTTCTTCGCGATAACTTGGTGATCGCTTTCTTTTTCTGTCTTCTGATTTGTCATCCGACTTCTCGTTTTTGTCATCATGCTACAAAAATTTTGGTCATGTTTTTAAAAACGAAATTAATTTTAATATAACTTGTATTCAATATTACTTAACAAAGAAATATTTTTTAAAATACATTTAAGGAGTTAATTTATGAATAAACTAATTCCTTAACAATGTCAGTGACAAATTATTTAAAACATCACTGTACTAAAAGGCAATAGAAATGATGAATTAAAAAAAAAAAAGTAGAAAAGAAATAGAAAAAAAAGTGCGTTTCTGTTCCTTAGTTTTTAAGAATCTAACAAATTTCATTTAAGACTGATTTCGTAAAAAATTTTAAAATAAATAAAAATAGTAAATTAAAAAATTTTATTGTAGTTCTTACGATAATAGATATGATATACAGTCGTTTAAAAAGAAGTCTACTTAAATTGGAATAAAATTATTCTTTTTAATGAAAGACTATGTGTGAAAGAAATCTTTAAACTTTGCTTTAAATATCTGGCAATACGCTGTTGAGGATATACATTATCAAAACATTAAATTTATTTTTAATTTATCAAAGAAGAGTGGACTTTTAATAACCTAGCTTTAATAAAATAGTATAGACTGTGCAATATTTTTATATTGTATGAGCTATAATGTATTTAATTAATGTTTTTTTGCAAATTATTTGAAAGATATAAAAAAGATTGTACTACCTGGTCATCCGTTTCCATACTTTGAGTATCGTTCACTTGATCTGTGGACTCATCGGTCGATTTGTCCAAAGACTCTTGTTCAACGTTTCTAACCACCTCCATTGGCTCGTCACTTTTTTTATTTGGACTCACAGCTTCTTCTTCTTCTTCCTATAATACAAGTACATATTAAATTTCAGTTAAGAATTATATAAATTTTGTGCACCGAAGTTTAAACGATGTTTATATATCTGTTAAAAATTTAGTAAATATAAATTCACTAAAGTTTATTCCTCTTTTATAATTTACATTTCGTGAAACGGAAAAATGTCGTAACGGAAGTATGAAACTTTTATAACAAAATACATTATTTAATTAAAATTAAAAAAATTCGTAATAAACATTGTTATGTAACATTGTTTATATATATTTTATTAATTATAATAATGATCAATGCTTAAAAGTTTATGATATATCAATTGAAGTTATCTTTCAAAAATGAAATAATTCTTATAATTCTAAAATATCTAATTACTAGATACATACATTATAATGTAATTAATTAATAAATATTAGTAAGATTATACAATAATAAATATTAAAATATAATCTAGCCAATGAGTAATCCGATGGATAAAATAATTTTTAAAATACTGAAGTGCCATTATTATAAAGTATTAAGTAAATTAGGGGTCTCTTGACTACAGTCTTATTTAGTTGTAGATTATATGAAATGATAAATAGTTTACATTGGTACAAATATGCAATAAATAAAATTAAACAAACCTTTTGCGTAACAGGACATTTAATAGGACTCTGAATAATAGATTTCACTGGACTCGGAATATCAGTATTGATTGGACTTTGAATGGTAGATGAAGTTACATTCTGAATAACAGACTTAGTTGGACTGTCCTTAGTAGTATTGATCGGACTCTGAACAGTAGGTTCTATAGGGTTGTCACTGACAGGCACGTATGAAGTCTCACTGGTAGATTTTATTGGACTTTCAGTCGACAATTTAGTTGGACTCGAAGGAGTAGCTTTTATTGGACTTTGTGTGACGGATTTAATTGGACACCGAGTAGGTGATTTCACAGGACTTTGAGCATTAATTTGAACAATTTCGTCGATGCTCCGTCTAGTAATTTCTTGCGATTTTTCATGCTCATGCTTTTCTGCCTCCTTCACAATATCGAAATTCTCATCTTTTTCAACTTTGGGTATCTGTAACATTAATCAGCCATCAAATATTACAATACACTTCAATTATTTATGGGTTGTTTATTATTAACTATCATATACTTTGAAAAATAAAATAAAAAATATTATCAATATAAGTTTGAATAAGGGCAAAATCATAATATGAGAAAATTGTATATTACCTCATTTGAAAGTATGTTTTCTGTTTTTGATGAAATTGTACTAACTTCAGTTACAGGTATAGCTGATTCAGCTTCTTTTTGTAGAATTTCCGAACCAGTATCTGTATCCATTATAAGGATACTAGAAGTCGCTTCTTTTTGAGGTGTAGTTGCCAATTCTATATCTGTTGCTGATGGCGATACAGCCTCTTTTATAGGTGACAAAGGAAAAATCTCTTTCTTAGATGTAAGTGCAACATCATCTTTTCTGGGTGACAATTTGTCTTCCTTTGCTATAGATTCTATCGTCGAGACATTTTCGTTCTGAGCTTCTGTTAATGTGATTTTTGCAGGTGACTGTCTGCTAAGCGAAGATCTGGAAGTACTTCTTCGTGTAGGAGTTCTTGCTGGAGTTGTAGGCTCTCTTGATGCGTGCCTTGAAGATCTACTAGGTGTTCTAGGTGGTAGTTTTGCTAGCTCTGGAGATTTTGATTCTGTATGACTTCCTTCATCTTCGCTTTCTGACTGTTCTAACTTTTCAGTTGATTCAACATCTAAACAATGAAAAAAATTTGGAATATTTGTAATTATTATTTTAATTTCAAATTTAGTTCATTTGAGTTATATCCAAAATGTGCATGCAGCATATCAATATTTAAAATCGATATTTCTTATTTATGAACTTGATTAATTACTTTCTTAAATAAATGTTCCTGAAATAATATTTAGCATTAACAATATTAATATTAGTTAAAGATACTTTGTCTGGAATTTTGTTAAGTATTTAAGAGGTAAGAATTGAACCAAAATCAATTTGAAATATTTTAAATTGTACTGTACAAACATAGATGGTACAGTTTCATATATTACATAGGTTTTAGTAATGCTCATCGTGTATCATATTGTAATCGAAAATTTGGCTTTTAATTGGGAAAATTTAAAAAACATCTATTTATTCGCTGTATTCTAATAGTACCAGGTCAAAGTTGAATTTATGTATGAATATTTGAATATAACTGATCTGTAAATGGAAGAAACAAAAGTTGCTAAAAGAATATTTATTATTTTATATTATTAAATATATTAGTTTCAATTATTAATTATATTAGAAAGTTAATTAAAATTAACAGGCTAATTAAAGGGTTAAAAATCAATTTAAAACTTTTAAACGTAGGATAAGATATTTTATAAAATAATTAAAAGATAATAGTAAATGGCTTAAATTTCAATATTTATTTTGAGATTTAGTCATATTTCTGGATTATTAGTCACTTGTAAATTGCAGATCAGTATTGTAGAAAATAAAGAATCTTTGTAACATATTTCCACCAACTCATAAATGTTGACACCTGGGGAGCACAAATATAAAACCAACCTCTAAATTAGCAACGACTATCATGAAAACATTTTCACAGTATTTATCACCCGTTGTATCGCCTTGATCGAGCATAAGTTCTAAGCTTACAGATGAGTTGTGAAAATCTAGAAAGAATGAGGTACTTAAGCCTCCAGATCTTCATAGGTTAAGTGAGTCAACGTTCTCATAGAACATCATCTTATCACAAATCATCGAGAGAGATAGTAAGATAATGCGTGAACTTCGTGTGTTATGTACGTGTTATGTGCATGCGTGCATGCGTGACCGTGCAGGTGTGTGGTGAGTGTGGGTAAGTGGACTCAATACGAGGGACATCAATAGCAATGGCAGTAACAACACGTAAGGACAGATCTCGTCGACTTCTCTCCGTCTCTGTTTAGAAGCGCGCGTTAGTCCCTCATAAGCGGTCTTTCTATGCTATGGATACCGTCCGGCTGTGTCGGTGGTGGCAGCTACGACGACGGCGGCGGCGGCAGTGGCGGCGGCGTCGGCGCTCGCGCGAAAAGCGAGGGAAAAGCACCGCGGCTCCTAGCCGAAGCCACGCCGGACGACACGGGAGGTTATCGCTTAAGCTAGCGGGGGAAAGCGAGAGATGGGAGGGGGTCTTGGGAATGGCCCCAAGGGGCTAAACTCACGGATTTTAGGGTCGGCCTTCTCCTCCTCGAGGGCCTGGCGTAGTCGCTCCACGAGCACGGGTTTGTTGCCCTTGGAGTCCAGACCGCGTTTGCTCAGCTCGGCCCTCAGCTCGACGACCTTAAGCTTAGCCGGATCCATGATCGGCCGCCAACACGACGCACTCGCCCACCGTCTGCTTACGACGCTCAAGCGACTCTCTCAGCCTCGGGCGCGCGGCCTCGAATATCCAAGCCCCGTCTTGTTCCACTCGCCGTCCACGTCCAGCACGTATCGTCGTCCTCTTCGCCCTCTCTCGATCGGTGCACGCGCACGCACTCTCTTTCCTCGTCTTTTTCTTCCTTCTCGTCCGCGCGCGCACGCCGCTTAGACCAGCACTGTCTCACTCTACGACGACGACGACGGCCGAGAACAGCGTGGAGAGGGAACGACGGCGACGATGGGGCGAGAGCGAGAGGGAGGATACCCACGATTACTACACAAACGCGCGCGCCTATAGGGATGGGTGGGAGCGAGCCAGAGATCGTCTTGATGTGCGGTAGTACCTTTGCTCGTATGCATACGCGTTATGTAGAGCAGCGAGCAGGAGATATGTTGCACGTCGTTACTTCGCTCTTTTCTCGCGGTCGTGCGCTTCGCGCAACTGCTATTGATATTTGAAGGCGGCGATGAAGTGACGAGGAGGGCGGCTACGGCGGAAGCGGGAATTATTTATTACTGAAGAAATTAATTGGCACCTCCCGCGTTCTCCCGATTTTCCTCCTGGTCACGAAATCCTAATGCTACCTCTCTTTTTCCCTATACGCACGGCTCCACAGAAAAAGCCACACACACATAGGCACAGGATGCCTATGTGTGCATATCGGGGGGCGGAGGGGGGGGCACGCACGCGTTTCTTCGACGTTCGTCGAGAGAGGTTATGTGCGTTCTTTCCGTACCGCGAACGCAACGTTATCCTCTTCTCTTCTCTGCGTATCCGTATGGGTGATGCGTACGCTGCGCGGGTCTGGCCGTGCGTGAGTGTCGTCGCGTGCCAACATGGCGGAAAGAGAAGAGGAGAGAAAAAACAGCGCCGCGACGGCGGGACAGCACACGCTCCCACACTACGCACTCCCGCCTTTGGCTATTTTTCTCTCTCCGTACTTCGTGCTCTTATCGTCTTCCCGGGTCATCTCTCTCGCTCTTCAAACCTTTCGCGCGACGTTGCCGATATATGTGTTTTCGACCGTTACTTTACTTCAGAGCCATCTGCACGCGTTCCGTTTATACGTTTTTCAAAATTTAAAAAATACGTACAAAATCACTTCTCTCTCTCTCTCTCTTTGTCCGACTCTCCCTCTCCACTTCCACCGCGTCTATTATTTCTCTCCGTGCAAGTGCATGCTAAAGTTGCACATGCATATATAGTGACATTTATGATACCAAATTAACCAAATGTGCTTATGCATTGGAATCAATATTCGTATTTTAATGGAAACATTACTTATTATTCACATATTGTATACTTATAGATGCCTACAATTATGATAACCAAGTAAATTCAATAGGATGAATATAAAAATAAAATAAATAAAAGTCAACTATGATCTTGTCAGTTGTGATATTCCATATTTATGCAGAACTCTTGGAGGTATAGTATATCGTTAAAAAAATATATATTGACACAGACGTTGGCTTTTACGTTGTATGACGTTCAGTTCACAAGGTTTCGTTACATGTTTATAATAGAAAAAAGAGCACAAAATAAGCGGTATGGTTTCGTTAAAATTAAAATTACATTAATTAAAAGATATGGATTTTATCGTTTGCAATCAAATTGGTTCAATTCAATAAAACTTGAATATCAATTCTTTAATACGTACAATTAGTGAAATTTATTATCCAGGATTTTATGAAATCATCCATTCTCAAAATAAAAAATTGGTTAAATCACAATTTTTAAATCTCCCCCCCCCCCTGCCGCCATTAAAATTACAATAAATTAATTTCATAATTGTATAAAAACATGCATTTAAAAAAAAATAAAGCAATTTAATATCTATAAATAAAAATAAAAATGAGACGAAAGCTACTGTATTTATTATACAAAATGATTAATTTATGAATTAACGATTTACAAAATACTTCTACGTTTATGGATATCTTTCAAATAACTTTTTAAATGTCTTTTAAATCAATTTAGTATTATGATTGCAGTCATAAAGGCAAAAATATATTGCATTTGTAGAATACACTATTTAGTTGCCAGAGTGTACAACCAAGTTTTACATGGTTTTTCGTTTACTATTGCAAATATTATTTGTGAAAGCATCTATTTGAAATGCATACAGGAAATGAAAATCACAAATAATTCTTTTGAATTTTGTACTTTAAATCTGTATTTACATATTTATTCTCATAGGTATATTAAAATAATTAAAAATAATATTGATTTTCATATTTTACTAATAGTAAAAAAATGTTACAGGTTTTTATATATATATATAATGTCACATTGGGCAATAATTGTATATAATATCACGTTTTAATATTTTCCATAAAAAAAAAAAAAAAACAAAAAAAGAACAAATTTCTTATATTAAAATATTGGCGCCTGCAAGAAAAATCGGTTGAAATTTCAAATTGGTTATTATTGCAAATATATATATCCGATTTCTTAAAAATTATTATCATATCCGATGTATTTCATGTTATTAGTGTTATTTAGTATTTTATAAAAATTCAAAATTTCTTACGCCTTATTATTGGAATATGCATATGTGGCTGTGTATTCCATGACACCTGTATACTTTTGTTTTTACGAAAATTAAAAACGATTTTTTAGATAGATGAGTATTTATATAAATGATAGTTATAATGACCCAAGCAAATACGACAAAAAGTTGTAAGCACATTTATTTGCTTATTAATTATACGGTTGTGCAAATATTATTTTAGCTTTTATCTGCGCGACTTAGAAGAAATGGAATCATTTAGATCTTTGATGGACTCGCTTGTACTCTCTTATCATTAGAACTATATGACAAATATTAGATAACTTATTACTTCTGACTTAAAAATAAACCTGCAAGCTATGTAAGCACAAACACAATATGTAATTGTAAAAGCAGGTAATTATATTGTTTATTTAACCTACTGTTTAAATTGTCAATGTATGTGATTTGTATTGGGTTCTGTTTCGATTTTTAATAACTCTTATTTAATGTTTTTACGGTTCTTTTGCAACAAAATATATTCATTTTCGAGATTTATTTTAAGATATAAGACACTTATATAAGATTGATCCTTATTTTATTTTAAGTAATAGTATTTTTTATCTTTTAAATATAAAACTGATGAAGTAGCCAACAAAAACATATACTTGCTTAATTCAATATATGCATAAATAAATATTTTATTTAGAATATTATAAAAATATATTTACACCATAAACAGTTATATATTGTATATTTTTCATATATTTATATGGTTTCTTTAATTTTTTATACACAAATAGATAATAGAAAAATAGTATCAGAAATTAATGTTGAACATTACATTTGTTTCTAGAAATTTAAACAATATTGCATTTATTTTTAATTTATAGCTTTTCTATAGAATTACTAGTTTCATTAAACAGTTTAATCTTTTAATTATAAAAGAAATAGATTCAAAACAATTGTAAATATTATTTAAAAAATAGACGATAAAATTGAAGTAAGTGTATAAATGTTAGTACATATCAATTGCTTTCAATATTTATCTTATATATTGTATTTAAATTAGTTTTCATCTACAACTTATTATACGTTATTTCTTCTGTTTTATACAGCTTGATCAAATTTTGTAAAAATTTTAATAAAAATAAGTGGGTTTAATGTGCAAATTATGTCAGGAACTAACTAGAATAATTATAAAAGTATTTATTATATACAATACTTATTGTTATTTAACATTAAATTATGTTATATTAATAGTAAACTCTTTGTATATCAATAAAATAAATTCTACTTGATTTATTGTTTATAATCTAAAATTATAAGTTTTTTAAAACTTTATGAAAATAAAAACAGTTCAAATCTCAAGGTATTTAAACTTAAATGATCTTATATTTACATAATAAAATTAATTATAAAGGACACGCTAATGTTTCCATGGTGCTTTTTACTTCATTAAATAGATCTTGATAGTTTGGATGTTCTTTTATAAGAACCATTAATGTGCCTCTTTTAACACCAAGTGCAGCACCAATATCTTGTCGGGATGGTGTGTAGCAGTATGGTATATTTTTACTTTCACATACAATTGGTAAATGACACATTATTTCTATTGGAAAAGCATCTCCAGCAAAAACAACCACTCTAAAAAGCAAAAACAATGTTGAAATTTATATATATATATATATATATATATGCGTAAGGTATATTTTTTAATAAAAAGGAAAATGTATAAAATGTGTATATAGTGTACTTATGGTCTTCTATTATAAAATTTATATCTGTAATATAAATTTAATATATTGTAATATATTTATTTGATTCAAAATAAGCATACAAAAGAATATAACTACATATGGAAAAAATTATAAAGTATCTCAAATAAATGAACTCAAAACCAATGTTAAAGATATTTATTATATGAAGCTACTTAATGAGATTATAAATCATAAGGCAAAGAAATTATAAATTTTATTAACATTTTTATATTTATATTAATTTACATTATAACTTATACAATAAAATAATTTTTTCAATCATAAAATTAAGTGAACTGAAAATTATGAAAATTATTTATTTTAATAAATATATTTTATTTTATTGATTATTCTGTATTAATATCTATTATACCATACAACAGAATTAATTTTTTACCCTGTTTCGCCTTTTCGAAGGTGTTTTTGTACATCTTTTAGACCATTTCGAAGACAGCCTTTATGCTTGGATGCTGTCATAAAATAAAATTTATTAAATAATTTTGCATTAACCATAAAAATAGTAGTAATTAAATTTATTATTATTTTTAATTATACCAAAACTACAATACTTTTTACCTTTTTTAATACATTTAAAAATTTTTTTTGTAAATTTCTTTGAAGCCATTGGGGTTGCAATAGCATTTACAATTTTTAACTTTTCTTCGTAACTAATTTCCTTTACTTCTGAAAGATTTATGTTTTCCTTAGATTCGTCTTCCACTTCCATTTTAATCTTTGTTTCCTCCATTTATATAAATTTAAATATAAAAAAAATTGTGAAATACAATAAAAATAGTTTTATAACCACGTGTATATAGAAATTGTAAACAAACGTATAGATTTTAGGTTAATGCATTCTATTTCATACTTCACATGTTGCGTGCAGTAAAACGTACTGATAATTCAGAAATCTGATATACCGATAAAACCAACACCTATGACATAATCATAATAGGTTTAGAGTTATAATACAGGCGCCATGGAAATGAGATAGCGCAAGAAAAATTAACACTTGGTATTGCGATGAAAGTGGTAATTGATAATTATGAGTCTCTGAATTTTTTACGGCGCGCCAGTTGTGTGATGCGAATCGAACGATCTTTGCGCGATATTTTTGTTGCAATGAAAGGTCCACGAAAAGAGCCAAAAATCCGAAAGTGTAAGGCACGTTACAATAGGTAAAACGTAATTAGCACGAGTGACTTGAGTCATTGATAATTTCAAATAAAAAGTATCTACAGATAGCCACATTTTTCCCCTGACTACGGTTTCATTGAAGCAGATAAATTGGCACTGGAAATAAAATAATTAAATAAACCAAAATATATTAACAAAATATTCGCATATATTATTTGATAAATTTATCATATACATATAATTAATCTTATTCATTTACTTACAGAATTAGAAATAAACTCTGATTAACTTATAATACTCTAATATTATTAATGTGTATATTATTAATGATTTAAATTAGCTTTAATGATAAATTATAATATGCCTTTAATTATTTATGTATAAATTATTTTCAAGAATATACTTTATACAGTATATAAAAATTACTGGTTTAATGAGATTTTATTTGAAAATGATTTTAATCAATTGATTATGATAATAAATTGATCCTTTTTATAAATAGAGGTTGATTATAGGAATTATCCTTAAAAACCTCGACGGTGACTGAGTCATCTAAAAGTCGTTGATTGATGTTAATTGACAGTATATTGTTGCTGTACAACTAATGATCATACAGAGTTAGCTAGTGTACTGAGAATTTTTTTATATAAATTGAAATCATAATTTAAATGTTACATAATGTGTAGACATCTTTATTTTTTCTATAATTTAATATAATTTAATACAACAAGTTAATATATTTATTTGATTATTTTAAGAAATTTCATAAATTTTTATTGTGTTAACCTTTTAAGAGTAATGGAAAATAACAATTATTCTTAAAATATTATTTATATCAATAATTTAATTATTAAGAGAGTCATATTTTTAAGCATGTAAAATATAATATCAATGAATTTCTACAACCAATTAATTTTTTTATATTCTAAGTGATAATTAACATATTATCATAACTATAAAAATAAGTACAATATTTTTACTTCAAAATGATAAATCATTTGCTTTTATGGTTTGATAAGTAACACTATAATATAAATAATTTCTGGTGTCCACGTTGTAATATTCATATATCTTTCAATACTGAATCAATAAAAAACGATATTCTCATTTTTTCAAATATGAAAAAGTAGTGTTTATTTGCTTATTGTCAATTATATTAAAATTTTCTAATAACTGTTCAATATATCTAAAATATGTCTAATAAGAAAGGGATATCATTTATTATTGTAATTTACTAAGTTGAGTTTAATTGACATATTAGAAAGGAATAAACTTTGTGTTTAAATAAGTACAATTGTATGTAAAACTGAAAAATATCCTATAAAATATATAGCTATTAAAAAGAATGAAAATAATTATTATTGTTTTATTTATTATTAATAACTCCCAAATTAATTCTTTCATTAGAATCGTACTACTACGACTGAAAAAATAAAACAAATATTGCATAATTTTTATATTTCATAATTGTACATGATTATTAATTTGTAATAATCAAATAGATTTATAAAAGCAACATGTTTTAGTTTAATTTAATTTTCATTTAAATCTTAACAAATTAAGATTATATATAATAAATATAAAAATTAGGTAAAGAATTCTGTCAGAGCTGAAGAATAGTAAAAGGTAAATTTTAATAATAAACAAGTTTTTTAAAATTGATACGTTATAAATAAAATATTATTTAAATAATTTAAACTTGAACTTTGTTGATCTACTCTAAGATAAAAAGTACATTCAAATTTAATATATAATATTTTTGCGTAATCTAGAATTTACTTAATCTATTTGCGCAATCTATTGTTTTAATATTATGAATATTTTTATTAATATACACTTATTTGAGATATGAATTAATACGAATTTTCCAATTGCCTTCTGGAAGAATGTTGTAGTAACATGTGTACAGCATTTGTACCAACAATACATAATAACTCGGATCTCTTCGAGCAGGCACAATAATTTAAAAATCACCAATTGTTCTTTGTATTAAATAAAAATAATTTTCAATAATATATCTATAATACTAATTAAATATCGAGTTTGCTTGTTATTTTTTTCATTTCTTAAATTTTGTAACTCCTGATCGTAATCCTAATTGTAATATCTCTTCATAGGCTCCAACTAAAATTTTTTTTTATTTAATTTCACCAAACAGATATTGTGAGACATTTTAAAATATATTTAAAAAGTGTCTTATCACAATCAATAATGAAGTAAATATAAAATTTTATCAGAAGAAATATATTTTTTTTGCTGCTTCTTGATGTTCGTTAAGTTTTGTTAGGTGATAATTTTAATCAGCTAACTACAATCCTTTTAAAAGTTTAGATTTGAGACCAAATTAATGAATTGTCTTCAAATTTATTTTTAATTACCATATGTACGTAGAGGTAAAATAAAACTTTAATGCGATAAGTATAAAACTTCATGTTTTTAATTTTCTTATTTAATGAAATATAACGTAATTGTGTTAATATTTTGGAATTTATACTAATAAATTCTTTCTTAAAAATGCACAAATATTAAAAAAAAAGATCCTTTAGAAACAAAACAAATAAACATTAATTTTATTATTATTACTTATATTTAAATAAATACAAGAAATAGTTAATAAATAATTATTTATAAATAATTTGTCAATAGTGACTCTTAATATTATATGTATATTAAATTTTAATTCATAACTTTTATTATTAATTTTCTATGCTTATATTTTGAATAAATAAGTTTTACGATAATAATGTTAGACATTTTAAAAGAATATTATCCATAGACTTTTAAGTTTTTTAATGTTGGAATAAATAGAGTAATAAAAAATTATTCTTTTTCTGCTTAAGTGTACATGATTTTGAAATAAATGTTTTATAATAAATGCTATATAAATTAGTCGATTCCGTCACATTAAGTAGTTTTAAACATTTATTTAATAGCAATTTAAGATCATTATAAAGTATTATTTTGAATAATATTTTTCAATGTTTAAGATAAAAAATATTACTATTTTGACTAGTAAGAAATTATGAAAATATAATAATTAAGGAAGCCTAGTTTTCGTTAAAAAATAACTTCAATATTTTAAATGCTATTGTTTATTATATAAAATTATGTTTAGTTCTTTTAGCATGTTTTACATTAAAAATAATATCAGCTATAAATGACTGCAAATGCTTTGCATCTTCGACTGTTAAAGTTGTTTGCGGAAGTGATGGAAATTCATACAGAAATGAAGGATTCTTAAAATGTGTAAACGAATGCCAACAGAAAAGTAAGATTTTTATAAAACTTTTTACTATATATATTAGTAAACTAGTATTAGGTATTTGAATAATTTTCAAACCATTGCTCATTTATTTAAAATTCTCTTATTAACTCTTATTAATTCTCAATTAATGTCATTAATATTAATATGCAAATATTATTTCTTACAAACTTTTTAATAAAAGACAAAGAATGTTCCTATATCGCATGCTATATTATGTAGTGATTATTTTGGCGTATACGTAATTAATTTAAAAATTATTTAATAAAATATTGAGTTTAATTGTTTTATGGCTGCGTAATTTTAAACAATAACTTCAGAATTTTCAAGCTTCTCAAAAAATTCTTTTTTATATAATTTATAATACATAATTGTATAAATTTTATTTACTTATATTATTTTTTGTTCAAAATTGTATTTATATCATTAATGTTATATAATATAAATTGTAATGGGAAACCTTTTTTTATTTAGGATTTTAATAACAGTGCTGCAATAAGATTCCACATTTTATTAATTCTTATTATAGGTTTATATGTTTTATTATTTATTGTTAGCAGTATACTTAATACAATGTCTTGTCATCAAATATAATTAGTAGTATACTTTTTTTAGTATTTAATTTTATAAGGTCATTTAATTATTATATAATTATTTTATATCAATATAAAGTATTAATTTTATACAAGTGTAGTCTGATAACAGATGACCAATTATTGTAAATTAAACAAATAGTGCATTGCTCTAATCACGTAAAATGTATTTATCAAATTTCAAATGCTTTAATGTTTCATATCAATTTCATCCCTGATGCTAAAGTTATTTTTAGCTAAATACATTATATTAACATTAATAATGAAATAATTATAAATCTTAATAGATATATATTATTATGTTTTAATTAATGGGTAATTATTGTTTAATTTTACTAAATTATTTAATTAATTTTTTAATTATTATATTTTCATTATTTACAGATATTCAAGTAACGGATACTCAATTATGTAGTGTTGCCAAGAAATTAATATTGGAATTAGACGATCTGAAATAATATTGTAATTTTTATATTGTTATATATTACATTGATTTACATTTCATTTGATTATATCTATTATAAATAAAAGATAAATATTACATCAATTAAAGAAAGAGATTTAATATTAATTTAGAAAATAGAAATTTGTCTAAATATATAATATGAAGATGTTAATATAATTATCAAATTAAATGAAAGTTGCATGAAATATTTAATACAAATTTATTTCCATGTAAATATATACTATAATATAAGATAATTCTATAAAAATAATATTAAAATAATATGAAAATTTAATGTAAGGCAGTGTTGAATGCATGTAGTATAAAAGTTAAACTAAATAAAATTATATAGGTTTATATTTTTTTTTTGTTAAGATGAATCTCTTTACAGTTAATATAATTTTGAATAATGTCTTATTTATTAATCATTTATAAAAATAAATTATCATAAATT